GCGCGAAGTCGAGCACTTTACGGTAGCACAGTTTAACGAGGACCAATACCGCACACCCTCGGTCCCTACGCAGACTGATCCAAGTGGTCACCCACCCGCACACTGATCGTAGCCAGTGATGCTTGACTTCGGTGATCTGCTGGGAACCGTGTCTTAACAATCAGTCCACTGCGGGACAAGAAGTTTGTGTCTTAGCATACTTAGTATTTAACTATTGTTACTAGAATCATTACAGTTAACAAATAATATTATGATAAAATAAATGTCATAAATACAGGGTGCGTAGCCAAGTCTTTCAACAAAAAATAAGCACCTTTTAAGTACTTTTTAAGCACTCAAAAATATTTTTAGGCACTATATGCATTAAGAAAATGCGAAAGAATTTTCAGACTTTACATGGTTGTGATAAAATAACTAGTTTCTGCCAAAGAACTCTTATCTTGATTATATTAGCCATTATGAAATAATGAAATTAAATGCAAGTGACGTAGAGTGGGTATCTCGATCCTGATTGTTTGTTGGTACCAATTCTCAGTATCCAGTACCAGTTCTCTTAAGTATTACGGCTTATATTCTTTTACAAAGACTTCAATCCCGCCAGTATTGGCGATCGAAATGGGCTGCAGGTGGTTTAGAGCAGAGCACTTTTGGGGAAAATTAGCACTTTTGGAATGCGAAGTGTTACCTATGGTAACACTTCGCATGCGTTCCCCTTTAGCGTGTGGAGAGTCATAGAGGAAGGAAGTACGTTAGTTTCTCTTTCGATTTTCATATAGATTAAAATCTTTTAAGTTGTAAAACTATATGGAACTGAAAACTATTAGCATAGTTCTAAAGAAAAGCATCATGGAAATTTTGAAAAATATTTTTATTAAATAGAAAGGAAAAATATTAAGAAAAGGGAAAGACTAGGAGAAGGAAGGGAGAAGGGCCAAAGGCATGAAACCGGTCTCTCCCCAGATGGCGTATTCGAGTGTTGCGATCGCCATGGCCACAAGTTGTGATCGCCAATGAGAAAAAGAAGGAAAAAAACTCTCTACTGCATTCTGTGCAGTAAAAATGTGTTAACAGTATTTGAAAGCTATAAGCTAAAATATACGAATTTTGTGCACATCAAATAATAAGCTTTCTAATCAACATTTCTCCAGCTTTTTTGTTTGAACTTCTACCGTTAAAGTGAGTGATTTTAAACTGTTTAACAGCATTTATCACCAAATTCATTGATTTTTATGAAAATTAATGCCTAAGTTTTCTCAAAAGTTTTATTTTGGAATAATTTGAATGATATTTGCTACATTGAACATTTTTTATTAAGTGGCTGTAGTTTTGGTAGATGTTTGTTCTTGATATTCCAGGATCACTAAATCTTAAGAACAAAATTTTTTTTAAGTAATTCAGCAAAAATCCTATGCGGTATTTTTTTTAAATTTTTTTATTGCTGCTATGCATTTGAAAATTTTATTCCCTATATAATCACTGCAATATATTTTATGCTTAGTTGCTACAATAAGTTAATAAGTATTTCCTAGCCACTCCCAAGCAAACCTCTACATGTTTTTTTTTTTTTTTTTAAATTTGCAAGTTTAAAATCTATTTAGTATCTTGCTGGTTGTAGTTGACCCAACTGATCGAATAACAAAATTTTTTCAGATAATAAGATATTGGAATTAATAGGGAAAATGTAAGATTTTTTTATACAATTAAAGCTCTAAAGTATAGTTCCCAATCCAATGGACACCTAATTCTACACTAGACAAATGTATTTCATGATTTAGTACATAATTTTTTTCATCTTTAGCATTATTTTGTTTGGCTATTGCATGGTGCATAGCGTTTTTAAAAAGTTTTTTCATTGGGCTTTCTTAAAGAGTGCTTGATTTTCCCCACATTGTTCTATTCAAGGTTTTCACAATTCATTTAGCCTCAATCTATTTTGGCAGACCATCAGTCCATAGCATATGAAAGCGCCAATCATTTTACATGTTTGATGAAATACTTCTGAGTCCACACGTGCTTCTACTGAGCTGGGTTCGGTGAGATTATTGCCTTCTTAGTTTCAGGCTTCATTTTCCATCCTCTGATATTGAACCGAAAAATCTCTTGATCATTTTATAATGGCTAATGTAATCAAGAAAAGAGTTCTTTGTCAGAAACTAGTTATTTTATCATGTTCATATAAAGTCTTTGAAAATTATTTTGCATTTTGCTAATGTATTTAGTGCTTAAAAATATTTTTTGAATGCTTAAAAAGTACTTAAAAGGCTACAGATAGCACCATTCCCTTACAACTGAATTGTGAGGAGTGGGGTGGGTCATGACATGGAATAGGGTCTTCTCCCCAGATGGCATATTCACACGTTTGGAACACAAATTTCATTTTACTGATTTTGATCATGATTAAAAGTGAACTTTATTATTTTGTGTTCGCTAATATGTTACAAGGAAATGAAGTTATGGTAAATTAAGTCAGCATGGTATGGTAATTATAAGTCAGCAAATATCATTAATAAACTTTTTAGTTTATATTAACTTTAAATAGTTTTTGATTAATAATTGTTTTACGATCTCTTTTTATTAAACGGGCATGAAAGTGGAGAAAAATAAACGAAGCAGACTTTTAGAATGCAGACACTGGAAGGTGGGAGTGTTCCGTGCAATACCGTGATATCAGTAAGATCATAAAAACAAAACTTCTAACTCTGGCGGGAGATTTTTTTTATATTGAAAGTGGCAGAAGCATTTAAACAGTGAAATTTAACTTTTTCTTAAATGTAACTTTAAACTTCTTTGACCACTACTATATTAAAGAAAAATAATCATTATATAGGGCTTAAAAATCATCGTTTTAAATTAATTACCAGTTAATCATTATAAATTAAAACAGTTGCTAACATCCACCTAAATATCATCTGATAGATTATTACTAACAGTTTTAGTCACTTAAGACTGTTTTATTTGACCAATCAAATAAAAAAAAATTTCTTCAGCAGCATCAATCATACTGCATTTTGTGATCATCTATCAAATTTTGCATCATTGAAATACATTCATCTTACAATGCACCACGTGAAACAAAAAAGAAATAGGTACATGGACAAACGCAGAAACGTCCAAAAACAAGAACTAGCAAAGTCGAGAGAATTAAATTGTATGGATGCGCAAATTCAATATGTGTTGCACCAAGGAGAAAACCCCAGATCAAATATCAGCGGCTGTAACGAACCTACTTAGAACTCAACTACCAAGAACCTCATCCCTTCCGCTCTACAGCAGAAGTCATGGTTGTCAAGGCAGCAGGATTGCGGAAAACCCATCTTTTTCCAGAAAAACCCAACCCACATGGGTTTTATTGGGCTTTTCTGGGTTGTTTTTTTTTTCTTCAAAAGAGAGGGCAGGATAGGTACCTTATTTTAAAAAAGCTTATTTTAATATTAATAATTAAGTTTCATTTATGAATTGACTTGCCATATAGGTAATTAAAGTGTAATTAATACAAATAAATTGGTGCAAAGGTCTGAATGAAGTTTATTCTGACATCACAATACCAAATGTTATATGTACTCACATACATCACACATTTGAAATCTTATTTTAACACAGCATTACTTTTTATTTATATTTTAATCTTAAAAAATAATTGAGTGATTTTTTTTTTTTTTGCATAGAAAGCAAATCAAAGGCACGGACTAATCAATGGCCATACAGTGAGTTAGTTTTTTTACCATAGGTGCATTTTTTTAGGCTAGACTATTTGTATATTTCAATAGAATAGCTCTGTAATATAACAAAGGATAAAAAAGATATCAATTTTAGAAAAACTCACTTGAGGGTAGGTTTTTCTGAGTGGGTTTTACTGGGTAAGTGGGTTTTTTGCAACCCTACAAAGCAGCGACGCACCCGCCGAAGCTCCACCCATTTTCTTTTGACAATAATTTTTCCTCAGGAGGCTACTGCTGGGGGGAAAAAAGTACATTAAAAGTATTGCTATCGATCGGGCGTCTTGGTTTTGGGGGTGGGGAGCTCTATAATAATTAGACCCCAAAAAAATTTTGTTTTTGGAGCTTTGTCAAAAAATTTAAAAATTGGAAGAAAAAAGCGGATTTCCGTTTTTTTTTGGNTTTTTTTTTTTTTTTTTTTTTTTTTTTTTTTTTTTTTTTGCAGAAGTTTTTTATTCCTCTCAAAAAGCCTAGACAGATAGTTTAAATATGAAGCATAATTATTCTACCTTGTTCAATTATTTTCTTACAGTGTTTCCAAAAGAATATATTCTGATATTAGCAATTTACCCCAGTGTGTGTTCTAAAACTAGCGTATATTTCAGTAAAAGTTATAATCTTACTTAGTGATTAAGTTATTTTATTCATTATTGTCTATAAAATTTTTATAACTTTGTTGTTTTCTATAAATAGTATTTTCTTAATTTCAGATGACAGACTCTCTTGCCCCTATTGTTGCTCAACATTACAACCAAATTCAAGAGAAAGGCTTGGAAGAACGCAAACAGAGCCGAATATTTCACATGAGAAACTTGAACAATTGGGTGAAGAGCATGTTAATAAGTAGGATGTTTTGCTTTATTTTCCCAATCTACTGAATTTTTTAAATACTAATTTTGTACTCTATAATGTATCCAGTACCAAAAGTTTCTGAATTTTTAATATATTTATTACATTTATTTTTATGAAATTTTGATTTTACTAAAGCTAAATTATATAAAAATATCTTAATATAAATACTTTAATACATGTTATAAAAAAAATTATATTTTATTATGTAAATATATAAATATTAATATTGAAAATATTTTTTCTCCAAAAATTTATTATGAAACCTCATTTGGGTAAAATACAATTCGAGTAATAAAGTTTTTAAACCAATAAATATGTAAAGAAATCATTATTTTGGCCGAACAATTTCTTTTATTTGAGGTGTAATTTTTTTTTCCCCTAATTGAGGCTCCTTACGCAGTTTCTATTAAATCAAATGTGTTTTTCTATGAATAATATCCGCCTCACATTTTAAGACATAAGTTATCTTATTCCTTCTTTATTAATTAAATCAGCGTGTTGTTTTTGATGTTAAGAACTAGTTAAAACTGCCAAATGCCTACAGTAATTGTTACACAGTCATGATGCAAGTTAAGTGTTTTGTGGTATATATAGCAAGTTAAATAAGTATATATACTAATTTATGACAGTATGTTAATATATAAATACTTAAATTAAGTCATCAAGGAGGAAATTTGTAGGTTAGATATATCAATATTAACAGCTTATAATTTGACTTAGGCTTACTAATTTACCTTTTTTTTTTCTTTTGTTAAAATGTTACATGTCTTATCTGCTTGAAGAAATCATTGTAAGCCCTAAAAATATTAAAAACATTATTTTAAAAAAATTTGTTTTATTTAAATGGGAATGGCTGAAAAAATCCGCTATTGTGAAACATGATTTCTTGTATGGAACTACAGTTTTTCATTGGGGGGGCAGTCTGAATTTTGGCTCAACAGCCTCAATGTATGGATTGCTAAATTGGTATAATTTTAAAGACATCAACAACATTTTTATTTTTTTATTTATTTTTGGTGTGTCAGTTTTCCATTGCAATCTTAAAGATCCCTTTTTCAATGTTTTTTTTTTTCATGATTCATTTTCACAATGTTAATTTTGTTTTCCAAAAAATATGCTTTACTAAATATTTCTAACAGTGTATTGAGTTGAGATTGTTAGTACTTATGCAAATAAAAACTTTATAATATTTTTGTTGTTTAAGAAAATTGGGATAGATTTTTCTAATTTTGGGGGATGCAGTAGGATCAAAGAGGCTACAGAACAGGAAAATAGATCAAGGAATTTAATTAATCTTGAAATATGGAATTTAATCAATCTTGTAAAATCAATGAATTTAATTAATCTTGAAAATCTGGGAATTTAATNTGAACTTAGGAAAAATATAATTTTCAGCTTTATTTTTTCAATTGGTAATTTTTATTTTCACTAAATGTTAAGTAGCAATGTAATCATTTATGTAATAATAGATTAGTACACGATTGTATGTCAACACATTGTTTATTACCTTAAACTGTCTGGGAATTTAATTAAAATACTCAAAAAAGTCATGAAAGATGAATTAATTTGAGATTCCTGAAAGTCCAATATTTTTTCCAAAAAATTTATTTTGTAATAATTTTTTTTTTTTTTTAATTTTTATTTTCAATTTTAATAGCAAGTAGAAGTGTTGTGTGTTAAATTTTATGCATATGGATAAGGCAAGCTGAAAACTTAATTGAAATTTCTGCCTCTGTTCACTAAAATCAGGAAAATTTGATAATTCAGTCTGGAAAAATCAGGGTATAAAGTGGGGAAATTTTTTACTGAGTGTCTGTAGCAGGGGTCTGTCCAGGACAAATTTATTATCGTTTAGCGGTACCTTCACAAATTCAACTTTAGGAAAAACGGTAGTTTCACAAATGCTTTTAAAAACGCAAATTCTAAGATTCTCCTCCCTTCCTCTTAAAATTTTGTTATTGTATCCCCGTAAGAAAAGGTAGCAGCACGTGCTTCGTCAGATAGTGTGGTGTGGTAAGCCTAACTGGTCCCTTACGCCATATTATATCAAGCTTTTTTTCGCAGAGGTTTTTTTTTTAATTAAATTACGAGGCGCACCCTTTGTAAACTTTACAGAAGTTGAAATTCGAACGTTATTCTAAACATTCGAACATTGTTCTAAATTTATTCTAACAAACCTTTATTTTTTATTAAACATTTTTGCTCTGTGAAACTTGTTTCTATATGGCCCTATGGGAAATGTTCTAATAATGAAAATAACTTTTAGTGCAAGTACTGCTAAATACTAAACAACGATTTTATGGATTTTTAAATTTGGAGACAATTTTAAGGCCAAAATTTTACATTAGCAAAATTATTTTTGAATTTACGGCAAAAAATATTTAAAAATTTACCATAAATAATGTCATGAATGATTTTTATTTGTAGTGACAATTTTTGAATCTTCTTACTTTACCATATTTTTGTGTTGATTTTTTTAGTATAATTTTTAATTTTCACAAATATGTCTAAATTTTCACAAAATACGTACCTCTCATAAAAACCTAGACAGACTGCCACCCTGATGATTACATTTTTAATTGAATATGTCAAAAATATATCCCTTAAAGTGTTAGCTTTTTTGTGATGGTAATGTTTGTTTGTTTCTTTTTTTCAGAAGAATTTGCTGAAAAGTTGAAAGAAGAAAGAGATAGAGACAAAAAGATTGTTTTAGATATTGGTGCTGGTAAAGGAGGAGATCTTTTAAAGTGGAAAAAAGGAGGCATTGATTATTTAGTTTGTGCTGGTAAAAGGTTTTTGTTGCTCTTAGCTTATTTTCTAAAATAAATTTATATTCTATATTAAAGAAGTTTGCAAAATTTCATTTATATCATTGTATTATTTTTTGTAAAATTGTGATATCCTCTTTTAAATATAAGGTTTTGAGGAAACCATTTTGAGGAGTTTTCTGTTTCTTTTGTGTCCTTAACTGATCAAACTTAATGGAAGGAGTTTTGAGTTGATTAAAACTTTCAAAAATATTTCAACACATTGTTTTAATGCATACAAATTAAAAACAGGTTTGTTTTTTTTTCGTTTCTAAGCCCGTGTAACACCTTGGACATTTTTTTCTTCAAAGTGAAAGAAAAGATATAAAAAATTCCCCAGAAGAATTAAGTTTCTTCCAACCTTAGTGACAGAAACTTTTTAAAACAGAAATTTGAATTTTTTTTTTAATTGATTGTATCTGTAATATAAGTTTGATTAATAGTGTAAATTCCCCACTTATTTAATGCATCATTCTTCAATAAATGACAATTTAAAAGCATCAATTCTTATAAAAATTTAATGCATTTCTTAAATTAAAATAATTACAATTTCTTTAAATATTTTAATCAAAAGAATATAGTTTGACCTAATTTTATAATTATATATGTAGAACAGTTAAATCAATCTAACATTTTACAAGTACAATTAAATTAACAAATCCCATACTAATCAAAAATGCAGTTTCAAATAGTTTTTATTGTATAGACCGTTACAAATTTTATAATGAATCACATTTCAATATGAATATTCAAAACTCTTGGATTAGTATACATAGATATTGAAATTCTCTAGAAAACCGAATCAAATAATATGAAAATTTTTTGTTTTTTTAAAAATTTATTTATTATTTTTTAAGAAAAAGTGTAGACCTAAAATATTTTAACTTTCCTGTACTACATTAAATTTTATTTATTAAAATTTAAACTATTTTAAAATATTTAATTTCAAAACAATCCATTTGGTCATTTTTAAATTTTTTTAAGTCATCATGTTTCTTCCATTTCTTATGTTTTTTTGTTTTGTTTTTTTATTCATTGTCATCATCAATAGCTTGGCTGCCCAGGGTGGGCCTTGGCCTTCTCAAGAAGTTTTTTTCAGGCTAACCTTTTTCCTGCTAGTGTTTTCCAGTTTATGAAGACCAAAAGATCTTTTTCTAGGCCATCTATCCATCTGAAATTCGGCCTGCCTCTTTTTCATGTGCCAACTGGTCTGGCATTGAAAACTCTTTTCGTGGTACGGTCTTCGTCCATTCTGATTACATAGCCTGCCCATTTTATTCTTTGTCGTTTATTAAAGTGAATAATGTCAGGTTCGTTATATGAGTGACAAAGCTCTAGATTTGATCTTCTAAGCCAACACCATTTTTTTGAATCCCTCCAAAAATACTTCTCAAGACCTTTCTCATAAAAGTACCAAACTTAGCCTCATTCGTACAAGATATGGTCCAGATTTCACAAACATATGTTAAAATTGATCTTAAAAGAGATTTATATAGTAAAACTTTTGTTTTTCTATGAATTAAATTAGATTTATGTATTTTCAAATTCCATTAAAACATTTGTTGGCTATAGTAATTCTCCTTGTGTATTTCTATTGAAATATTGTTCCAGTTGTTGATTGCAGAACCCAAGTAAGCGAAATTGTCAACAACCTCAAATTTATATTCTTCAATTTCTAAATGGGTGTTATTGAAGCTTGTTTTAGTACAGGGCAAATATTTAGTTTTCCTCTCGTTTATTCTCAGGCCCATCATGAGAGCCGCTTTCTCTAAAGAAATGAAAGCCTGTTTTAGTCTTGTTTTTTTATTAAGTTTCTTAAATTGTCTTGGGAAGAAACTCCAATCCTACTTTTAACTTATGTAAGTTTTTTTTTCTGATATAAAAATGTGTGTAATAGGGAGGTGAATGGTTTGTAAAAAGTATTTTTTTTCTTCCTAAATTATGAATCTGAAGCAGTATTTATTTTTTTATTGAATTGTTTTTATTTATATAAAATTGTTTTGCTGTAGATATTGCTGAAACATCTGTTGAGCAGTGTAAGCAGAGGTACATGGAGATGAAAGATCGTCATAAAAGGCAGCGAGAAAGAGGTTATTGTTTTGATGCTGAATTCATCACAGCTGATTGCACAAAAGTATTATGTACATTCTTGATTCTAAAAATTAAGGGTGTAATGAAAATGGTATATCATGCAATAGCAGGGGTCTGTTTAGAAGAAATTTGGGTCCATTAACGGATCCTTCAGAAAATAATTTATCTTATAATTGGACCCTTCACAAATTTGTTTATCATCATTATTGTTTTGTTAATTGAATAAACCCTTCTCGGGGAGGGGAAAGAAAGACGGTTCAAAACGAACTAAGTTTCCCTAAGTTTAAATTCCAAATGCAGTATTTTAAGAAGATATTTATACTTTTACAAACATTGTGTGCATATTCTTATTGATATTGAATGATAATTTTTTTTGTAAATAAATGATGGATCAATTTATATTTATTCATAAAATTAATTAATAGATTATTATGTAAATAAAAAATTAATTTCTTGCAATTTTATAAATAAAATATTATAAATTTAGGAATTGTTTAAATTTACTTCATGCGTAACATATTAAAAGGGATGCATAATTAAGTTGTGTTAATTAAAATATGTCATTTGAGATGATTAAAAATGTGACTGATTTTGTTTCCATTATTCGTCCGAAATGAATATTCTGTGTTGAGCAGAGTATAGGCTAAATACCAAATATTTGTATGTTGCATCTCTAATGTAGTAGCAACAATTGTTGTGCAGAATCTTGTCTCTATTTACAATCTAAAAACTTCTTGAAAAGGTTTTTAGTAATTTTTGCAATAGCAGGACTCTATTTGTACAAATTCACAAGAGCAGGACCCTGGTTGAAAGAATGTGACTTAACACTTATTTTATAATCACAAATTATGAGTAGTTTTTTCACAATTTTACAGAAACAGGACCTTTCGCAAAATGTCTGGACAGACCCCTGAATAGGGACCCAATATACATAGGGGGCGCTGTTTAAATATTTCTATCTAATTACTTGACTGTTTTTATGAATGGTTGACTAACAAGTTTCCTAAAGGCAGAAGAAATTTGGAAAACTTCCGGTGCATCCCTCCGCTTATGCTATGATTACGAAGCGATGTAGAAGCTTAATATTCTAAGAAAATGTGTTATTGTGATTTGTGTTTAAGTGCATGCATCATTTTAACATTCATTCTGCAATCTATGAATTCTAAGAGGTTGTAAGCTTTGAACAAATTTAATAAAATTAATATCACAACATATATAAAGTGTAAGGTTTGCCATGTTTTGTGTGTTATCCCTCATTTGGCTATATTAGTGTACAATATTGCTTTTTGTTATATTTTGAATAGCATTATAGCAAGCTTTTGGAGTTTTCCAAATTCTTGCTTGTTTTGTTTAAACTTTAAATTGAAAGAACGCATTATAATGTAAACACTACAAATAATAATATTGAATGGCACTTTTTTTCAAGCTTAGTCTTAAAAATCAATTAAAAGTAGTAACCCGGAAGTCTTGCGACTCATTTTAATCCCTAGTGTCATCTGTGCTTAGCTTTACACGGTCAATCATCCATACATTGTATTTTTACTGAAATCTGATAAACAGTAGGACTGGGTGATGTAAAGATTTTGGCATTGCAATGCATTGACACGCTAACATCGCGATATTTTGATGCATTTCGATGTTTTGGTGCGTTAATGTTTTATATTTAGTACTGCGTAAATTCGCAATTAGTAAGATGCATTTTTTTGATAATCATTTCTCAGTATTTAAGGACGTGGATGTCTGCAAAGTATTGGTTAAAAAACATTGAACGGCTGGATTTATTCTTTTAAAAAAATCAACCTTATTTGCACACACACAATATTAAAAGAAAAACCCTTCCATAACTAAGAGATTCAACAGCGCTTTGATTCTCAATCACATTCGGATTCATCGTGTCTGTAAAACTATGAGTCACGATGTTAAGAAAAAGACGGGGCAAGATAATGATCCTCTCCACAGTTATCACTTCACTTTTACGGAGGAAAATGCTCTTTGCGCGAGCTTGTTGACATCAACGTAGTATTGGGAACAATGCTCTACATCTTGCGTGTAGATATCGATGTCGGTGATACATTTGGAATTATCGTACACATCTAAGTAAATCACAATTTCTGATGCTTTGGAAAATTGCCAATCCAAACATCGGATCGGCGATGATTGCATAGTATCGATATTTTCCTATGCATCAATTTATCGTCCAGTCCTAATGAACAGTTTCAAGTAAATAAAAATTTAATAATTTGTCTTCTTAAATATCTACTTCTGGGATTATATTCTACCACTTTTATTGTGTTTAAGTTTGTTGAAATTGTTGTATGTCTTGAAAATGCTTTATTTTATGTATGTGAAGTTTTTTTTAAATTCAATTTGAAACATTATGACATGTTATAGGAGCCCAAAATATTTCTATGACCGGGGGTCCTGCTACACATAACTAATCATAACTAAAAGTTTAGTTTTAAAAGCTGGCAAAATTGCCAGGTATACTTTCTTTTAATGTAGAAAATAATTTTTTTGATTGATATATTTTATTAATTTTACTTACAGCAACGTTTAAAGGACCTCTATCAAAATCCTGATATCCAATTCAATATTGTGAGCATACAGTTTGCATTCCATTATTGCTTTGAGAGTCTTGCTCAGGCACGTACCATGTTACAGAATGTGAGCGAGTGCCTGAAACCAGGTGGATACTTCATAGGCACTCTTCCTGATGCTTATGAAATTATGTAAGTCCCATTATTATTTTATTGACTCTTATTTTTAATACAGTAAAACCTCGCTGCAACAATATTTTTTGAACCAAATATATATTATTGTAGACATATATATTGCTATATCAAGGGCCTACATACTTTGGGGACACAATAAGGATTTTTTTTAAATTTTAACGTTATATATTCATTAACTATTAATGTATATATTAATTTGCAGATAGGTTAATTATGGTTAAATAGTTAAAACAACTGAAATAAAGTAAGATCGCAAATATACCTGATAAACGTTTTTATTGAAAATAATCCGATATTTTTGTTTGTTTATTCATTATCATGACTGTTGAGTCAACCAACAAATATGCATTGAGTTCAAAGTACGAAAATGATTTTCGTTTGTGAATGGGGCTTTACCCACCCTCTATGCAAAAAATTCTCTTTCAGGTGTTAATGTGATGCTTGTGGTCATTTGTGACTCATGATCAGCTTTCAACATAAAGGAAATGATATCAGATAGGAATGTTACATCTGTGACTTCTTAAGAGATAAGGGATGCAATTCTAAGAATGGAAAGTCTTGGGGTGGTCAGCAGTGAGTCTTCTCTTGTCAGAAAAAAAGTGGCAAAACATGAAAAAATAAGATTTTTTACATTATTTTAAAACCAATAATAAATGGAGAACATAAGGTTGGGTGCGCCGTTTAACAACGGTTATACAAAAAAAAATTAATAATAAATAAAAAATTACAGGATTGAAGAAAATTTTTTTCATTGTTGTTGTTTTAATTTTTGTTATAATATTTTATCCTAACAATGATTGCAGGAAAAGGCTAGAAGATGCTGAGGATTGCACTTTTGGAAATGATGTTTATTCCATTTCCTTTCCTTCCAAAGACATTCCAAAATTATTTGGAGCAAAGTATGACTTTCATCTTGAAGGCGTTGTAGACTGCCCTGAGTTTCTAGTTTACTTTCCTGCCTTTCTCAAGTATGTTGACATTGCATGTTAGTTTTATAATCCTTTACAGATCAGGCTAACAAAATAATGAATTATAATCATTTTGATATTTATAATGTGGATATTCATTAAGTTCTCAAAATTATTATTTATTACAAATGGACAATTGCAGCATCTCTTAAATTTTCCAAATTATAGTCATTACTTCTTAAGATTGATTTCCTGATTACGAAAATAAAATTTTTAACTCTGACAAATAAATATTTATTTAATTATTAATATTTTAATTTCAGCGAAAACGCCCTCACTCGAAAACGACCGCTGATTGGTGTGACGTCATTAGAGCCTTACTCCTCACGACCTTCCCGTTGTTATTATATTATGTATTTTCTTTCTTGCGATTTTAACTAGCTCTTCTTTAACTTATTTTTTCCAAATTTTCCCGCGTGTATTTAAATGCGTATTTAGCAGCAAGTATTTTGAAATCTATTGCATATATAGAATCAAAATGGAAGAGGGGTTTCAAAAAGCTCAAACGGACAATTTGCTGCAAGTTACTGAAGAGATGATTATGGATTTTTTTCGAACGAACCAAGATTTCATTTCGCCTGAAATCAAAGGCATAAAGGCTCAAAGGTATAAATTTGTTTATTTATAAACTGTAGCTGTAAATAAGGGCGTCGGCAAGGAGGTGCACTTACACTACCCTGGATTTTCTTTAAGCAATTAAAAATAAATAGAAAAGCAATTTAGTTATAAAATTTTATGTAAAAAATTGATTAATCAAACAAGAATTGCAATCATACAGAATAGTTTTAATCTTTTTTTTTGTGGGGATGGTAGTTTGTTAAAGGGTTGCACCCCCCTATATTTTATTCTACCGGCGCCCCTGGNCAAACAGTTGAACAGTAACCATATAAAACCAGTATTTTGTTAGCAAATTAAAGCACCAATTGTATAATCACTATGATGTGAACAATCTAAATAAGCGTGTTGAGTTTATGTATAATTTTGACCAATTGGGAATTAGTAGATGGAAAAGAAAGGAAATTCATAATCGTTATTTCCTATTGTTAACTGGAACATTTTAAAGCTAATTTACTTATCTTCACTAAAATATAATTTAAATACTTCATCTACCCAATGCTTCAAATAACACTGATTCATGAGACAAATAATTATTGTTTATAATTTAAATTTAATTATTAGAACAAAAGTTAATCATTTTTATCATAAAGAGAAAGGAGAACAGCAAAGATCAGAGTTAGCAAGGTTTAGGACAGAATGGATTAATCCTCTGTTTAAACCAGGATTTAAACTGTCCTGTCCAAAACCCCTTTGTCTTAAACTATCCAAATCCCTTTTGTTCAAATTCTCCAAGACCCTTTCGTTCAAATTATGTCACACAATTTTTAAAAAAGTAATGTGAAAAATAAAAGGTTAATTTTTGAACAAGAAACAAGATGAAGACGAGTTTGTTTTATTAAAAAAGTTTATTATTATTTTTAATATTGCATTATTTATCCTTATGCGAAAACATAATTTATCTGTATAAAAAACATATTTAAAGGTTAAAGTATTCACTTTTGTTATTTAGTGAATTGTGCAGCTTCAAAAGTTATTAATCTTTTCCTATTATATTATTTTCCTTTAATAATTTAAAGTAAAAGTAAGCTAAGGTAAAAGTATCAAATATTTATTAATATAATTATTATTTGTACAATGGTTACGCATATTAAATTTTTACCTTTTAAAAATGTTCAAGGTTTTGGACACTTTTAGGACAGTTTAAGACAGTAAAACCCATGTGTCCTGTCCAAAACCAGTTTAGGGTGTCCAAAACCCCAACCCTGGCAGAGATATTTAAGGTATCCAATATTTCAATAGTTTAAAATTTGCAGTTTTTGAAATATACCAATATATGCAACAGACTGTAACTATATTTATTTGAAAAATTTAATAAGATTAAAAATTATCTTAAAATCTAGTTTTGTGTTTGTCAGTACTTTTTACTTTTGTTTATCGACAAATATAACCATTAAATATATCTCAGATTCTTAAGTTTCATTATTAGAAATATCTGATAAATACTGGAAATATTACATTCTACTTTCGTTTGATGTTTTATTACAATACTTTCATTATTTATTTTAATTTACATATTATGAATTTGAAAGCTGCGAGCTCTAATCTATGAATTGCAACTTTGAATGATGTATGTTTTTGGTTAAACAATTTTTTTCAAAAATATTCAGCTGATTTTTACGAACAAATGAAATTATTTCATTTATGCACATGACTTTGAGAGACGTTAACTTTCTAGTTTTCATAAAAATGCCTGTCTAATGAACTGTTATGAGATGGTCCGTTATAATTGGTCCACTGCATTGTCCTATCCCTCAATTTAATTTGAAAGTATTTATTTTTATTGCTGAAATAACTTTAGGAAAGTTATTCTGTTATTAAAATTAATCATTAACATTACAGGGGTCTGTCTAGGTTTTTATGAGAGGTACCTATTTTGTTAAAATTTAGACATAATTTGTGAAAATTAAATATTATATTAAAAAATCAGCACAAAAATATGGTAAAGTAAGAAGATATTTTCAAAAATTGTCGCTACAAATAAAAATAATTTTTTACTGGTAAATGTTTATATATGTTTCCCCTTATATTCAAAGATAATTTTGCTATTTTAAAATTTTGGGCTTAAAATTGTATCCAAATTTAAAAATCATTGTCCATTGTTACATTTCAAATTGAATTTTAAAAAATCATGCATTTAGCAGTACTTGCACTCAAAGTTATTTTCATTATGAGAACATTTTCCATAGGTTCATATAAAACAAGTTTCACAGAGAAAAAATGTCTCATAAAAAAAATAAAGGTCTGTTAGAATAAATTTAGAATAATATTAGAATGTTTAGAATAATGTTCGAATTTCAACTTACTAGGTACAATTTCAACTGTAAAGTTTACAGAGGGAGCACCTTGTCATTTAATTTTTTAAAAAAACTCTGGGAAAAAAAGCTCGCTATAATATGGTGTAAGCGACCGGTTAGGCTTACCATACCACACTATCTGACGAAGCATGTGCTACCTTTTCTTACGAGGATACGAAAACAAAATTTTAAGAGGCAGGGAGGAGACTCTTAGAACTTGCTTTTTTTAAAAGTATTTTGTGAAACTACCGTTTTTCCTAAAGTTGAATTTGTGAAGGTACCGCTAAACGGTAGTAAATTTGTCCTGGACAGACCCCTGCATTAGTCCATGTTATATATTATTTAATTTATATTTGTAATGTAGCAGCTAGGATATTAAAATGGTAGCTAAGAGAAGAATTTTTTTACTCAGTTTAAAATTTATATTAAATTAATATATTACCAATGTGTGCACATTGAGTTAATATCTAAATATCTATTGAGTTATATTTTAAGGTTAAAAATATTTTTTAACTTGACCTATGAAAAGGTTTTGGAAATACTTTCTACCTTGAAGTTTGAAATTCTGTTACTAAGTTCAATGGAACATACATCAATGAATGAAATGAAACAAAAATCATTTTAAAATGTTATTTAGTTACTAAAGGAATTAAACTTCTTTTTCTCTTTTTAATGGGAACCCTTGAGTTCAAACTGAGAACTTCTATACTTAGTTTAATATATCAGATATGTATTTTCTTTAAAAAAAAATGAAAAGTTTTTTTTTTCTTTGTTGGTGTAAGACCGGTTCCGATATGTGCTTGTGGTTTGAAGCATGAAGTACAAACATGGTATCCGCGCACCTGGAAAGTCATGAAAATTCATAGAAAGTCACGAATTTCAGAATTGAACAAAATTTGTCATGAAATGTCATGATTTTTACTTTTTTTTAAAAAAAAAATCATGGATTTAGGTCGCCAAAAAATCTAATTTTTAAAATGGAATCCCCTCCCCTCAATTTCATGCAGTTCCGAATATCTGAATTCCTAACAAAATCACTACTCACAGTCATATTTTATTAGAATATAAAATGTCTTTATCATGTTCTTTAAAAATTATGGTGTTCTTTCAAAAAATGAAAGAAAAAACATTACTTCTAGAGTGAATTATCTTTCAATTTAAAATTCTAGCTGAAGCAATCCAGTCATTGGCGAATTTTTTTTATTATTATTCCAAAATGGGAACAGAAAAATCAAGAGTATTTCTTTACTCTCCGATACACAAGAAAAGTATCTTTAGAATGTAATTCTGCAGGAAAGCAACAAAAAAATTTGCTTTTGTATTTTTTTCAGCTATTTTATTGCTTAACTCTTTCTTCACTCTGTTTTTCAAATTTAAAATCTGTAAATATGAAGATGCAGAGAGCAATTAATGTTATTATAATGCTTTTTTAAATTTATTGTTTTGTCTTTGTTGGAGAAAATAGTAACTTCTTTAAGTCATGAAAAATTCTTGGAATTAGTCATGGAAAATCATGAAAAGTCATGAATTTAAAAATCTGAAATGTGGAAGATACCCTGATAACAACTTGTACTACCTCGAAACGGATTGCAGCTTCTACTTTAAATAGCTAACAAAGTTTTATTTTCAATTTATTTGTGTTGGAAAAAGTACGCAATAGAGGTTAATATTTGTGTCTTTAGATTGTAAATCTTATTATAATTGGTACTTGCACTTCAAGAAGAAGAAAACCTCCCATACCCACACATGTGACATATGACGCCAGTGCCAGAATCTTTATCAGCAAAATGGCATATTAAAGTTGAGCTAAGTTTTGTGGCAATATGGTCATCATTGCCCGCAGGCATTATTTACTTCCCACACAAATTCATAGATGATTGTGTTCTTCAAAAGATCCGGATTTCCAGATTTTTCTCTAACCGCAATCCGGAAATCCGAAGTCTAGAACTTTTAAGAAATCATCAACCACATAAATGTGAGTAGACATAAAAGTAAACTTATACAAATTATTAATTTAAATTATGCTGCATATAATTTATTTAGAATTTCATGTTTTTAAAATATCAATGATTTAAATTCATGAAGACATTATTTTTTGAAATGCGTCATTAATGATTTTCCTCGAGAAATTTTTCGGATTTTTGAGTTGGGCTCACAATCACCCCTGAACATTGACAAATTGCAGCTCATTGACGAGAATAATTAAGTATAATGTGGTTAAATCAGTAATTTATGGGTGTAAAAATTATCAAAAAAACAAACTTCAATAAAAGATACTGATATGAATTACATTATTGATTCGGTCATATTATAAATAATTATATTCGTTAATAATTCTGTCAGAGCCAAAATTTCATTCGGTAAAATGGAAATTTCTTTCCCTCCCTAAAGCATAAGTTTGCGGCGCCCCTGCAAATTATTTAACTGTACCAATCATCAAGCACTTTAAGAGCTATAATACAAATAATTAAATAGTTTAAAATTTTATTACGAATAGGGAAATTGGGTACTTGCACTTCAAGAAGAAGAAGACCTCCCATACCCACACATGTGACCTATGACGCCAGTGCCAGCTAATTTTTATCAGCAAAATGGCGTATTAAAGTTGAGATTAGTTTTTCTGCATAAGTTAGAATGTTAATTAATGATAAATTAATTAAATACAGAGACATATCATACATCAGATTAATTGAAATATAATTCTTTCTCCTCTACTTCTTTTCCTTAACTTAGATTTATTATTTGTTTGTGTATTTTATTGTAACCATGATATATTTTTGTTTTGTGTACCTGGCAACTTCAGTGCGTAATTAGTTTGTTTATGTTCCGCATGGCTTCGCGTCTGTCTTTGTGTTAAGTCTCTGTGTAAATATATAGTGAAAGAATTGAAATCTTTTAGAAAGAATTTGGAATGTGTCACTTCTTAAGAGAATTGCTTCTTCACAATATTGGCTTACTCGAAATAGAATGGGAAGAACAGTTGCTAACGTAAACAAATGCCACGTTTCAACAATCAATCAGGATCGAGATACCCATTCAGTTGTAAAAAGCATTCCCTAAAATATATTTTTAAAAACTTTGTGTACCAAGTCAGGCAGATTTCTTTTAACAGAGCTTTGAAATTCACCAAAACATGTTCCTCTATAATATAATGAAATATTTTCAAATAATGAATTTATGTAAATAAAATAAATAATAATAATAATGTAAATATAAAAATAACATTGTAAATATAATAATAATATCAATATAATAGTAATAATAATTCAAATATTGAATATATTTGTTTCAGACTGGCAGAGGAAGTTGACCTGGAACTATTGTATTCTACGCCATTTGCTGATTATTTTGATGAAAAACAAAAAATTAAAGAAGGACAATTTCTATTAACAAAGATGCAATCTTTAGAAGTATGTCTTTATTTAAAGTTAAACAAGTATGATGAAAATTAAGGCTATTTGATTTGTATGTACTATAACGTATCAAGCTATATTAAGAAACAGTGCTTTGTTTTATAAAAAAAACATTTATTTCACAACAACAAATACAGTAACGAAATTAAATTACCCTTAACGGGATAGCAATAATCTTGCTATAAAATAAAGAAACACTCGTAACGGATTAGTATAAGCTTCAAATTTAAAAACCAAAAAAAGGCAAATATTTTTTAAAATTAGATTTAAGGTAAAACAATGACTGTTTTGACTATTAAGCATTATCTGATAAACACTTAAAATCTAAAACTATTGCAGCTGTTTTTAAAAGATCAAAATTTGAATTCTAAGAATGAATGTGATGCATGCATTACCCTTTAAAAAAAATTAAAAACTTCTTTTTTACGTGTGAGCATTTAATGTAAAGCCATTGTCACAATTTTCTTAACATGTTGCCACAAATGATGGCTATAATCACCAAATTTTTGGTGATGAGTAGGCAAGTGACGGTTATAGCTATCCTACTGTCTCAAACAAAAACTCTTTTTAATAGATCTGCTAATAACCACCTCTTTTTAAATACTTGTTCCTATTCTTTAATCAGATTCTTTGAAGGAACTGAAAAATTCATCATCATAGTTAGCCAGACAGCCCAATGTGGGCCAATGCCTTCTTCTGAAGATTTCTCCATAACACTTAAAAATCAGTTACCTCAAAAATCCGGGAAAATGATCAACTTTGGAATAAAGGGCATGAAAATAGATACTCTGATACATTTCAATTTATAAAAAAGGGAATATCGTTAGTAGTATACTAGTAAATATACTAATGCATTTATTTTTTAATTATTCAATAATACATTGAAGAAAAGAAGAAGGGAAAGTAGCATTGCAGATAACATATATAATGTTTTGTTTGCTTGGGACGAGAAGAAAATGTCGTGACGACAATTACAGTCGTTGAGAGTTTTCATGGAAAAACTGCGACAAAATGTGATAATGTTCACTTCCTACAGGGTTGCCACTCCACAGGGAAAAACTCGAAAATACAGGGAATTTAAAAATCACCAAAAATATCAGGGAATTGTGAGTTTTTCTTTAGAAACTGAGAAAATGCAAGGAATTTTGTTTCTTATTTTCATCTTTTAAAAAATGGTAACCATTCAAAGTACCAATCTATGGGATATTCAGGGATGATATTTCAGCTATATTAAACTATTTCATTTACTATAGCATTATTTGTTATAAATATGTTCGGCTGTTCCTTTTTTTCTCTAAGTTTTTTCATCAGTTATAACTAGTATAGTTAGTTAGTCTAATACAAGATCACAGTGATTGTTGTGTTTCCTCTTAATATATTGTGTATAATATGTACAGGGAAAACACAGGGGATTTTTTTTATTATCCAGATTTGAGTGGCAGCCCTATCCAAACATACGACTTACGATCAATTTCATATGGCAGACATACACGATCACCAAGTTTGAATTATGTAGCACATGTTAAACAAAGTTATCGTTTTAGCTTCGTTGTTTTAATATTTGCTTAATTTCAAGACTTTTCTGTGTTTGATTTAAAAATAAATGCTTTTTCCTGATTGAATTTTATCATGAATGCTAACCAATAGCTGTGATACCAAAATGCTATTATTTTGAAACCCATTGACTACTAAAGATACCAGTTTTGACCATGCTTGATTCCTCTATTATATATGTATATTATATATGTATTCTATTATATATGTATTCTCTATTATATATGTATTCCTCCAATGCAGCTCATGCATGTCGTAAAAAGCGACTAAAATGGGTACCCAGTGTCTGGGGGTATAACCGGGCACCTTGCCTCTGGGGATTATATCAGGGGTCTGACCCTCCTGGTTGGGGGTTGGGCATAGGGTTGACACTTCTATCCTGTAAAAACTTCTTGTTACGAAATCCTTAGAAGAAAAATCCCAAATGACGTCATCACGAAAGCGGGGGAGGTCGCGGGTGAGATGGGCTGACTCGGTGGAGTCTGATTTTCTTGCAATTAATGAAAAGAATTGGAGATCAAAGATAAATTGGAAGTCATTATGAATAAATCTTCAGAGGACGGCATTGGCCCACATTGAGCTGTCTGGCCAACTATGATGATGATTCCTCTATTATCTAAGATGCTATCTTATAATCTTTTTTATGTCAGTCGAGAGACTCATAATTATAAACACAGCTGAAAATGAATTTCATAAATATTATATTGTAATAAACACATGCTTGATTCCTCTGTTACATTTGTTGCTACCTTTTTATGCATGCAGAAAGATTCATAACTCAAAATCAATTTTATAAATCTTATTTATTAATAATGATTAAAAAAAGGTTAAAGAAACTATGTGCTAGAAATTTTTGTAACAAATGGCAATCGTTAAAACTTGTGCTTTTACATTAGGATTCTCGACAGAATTCAGCAAAAATCTTGTAAACATTTCACTTAGGCTTGGCCAGAGCAATCTCATTGTTTTTTTTAAATGGTTACCTCATTTAAATGGTTATTGTTCACTGTTTCATTTATTACTCTATAAATGATTTTGTATTTCATTTATTACTCTTTTTTTTTCTATTTTTGGAAAAATAAACATTATCAGGGGTCTGTCCAGGGAAACTTAACTACCATTAAGCGGTACTTTCACAAATTCAGCGTTTGAAAAAAACGGTAGTTTTGCAAAATGTTTTTAAAAAAGCAAGTTCTAAGATTCTCTACCTCTTAAAATTTTGTTTTTGTGTCCCCATAAAAACTGTAAATCCCAGAGTTTTTTAAAATGACACAACGAGGTTCTCTCTATATAAACTATACAGAAAGTCAAAATTCGAACATCATTCTAAGCATTCGAACATTATTGTAAATTTATTCTAACAGAGCTTTATTTTTTTAAGAAAAGTTTTTTTACCTATGAAACTTTTTCTGTATGACCTAATCAAAAATGTTCTCATAATGAAAATAACTTTTAGTTCTAGAACTGTTAAATGCAAGAAATTTTGATAAAATTTTAAGCTCGAAATTTTACAACAGCAAAATTATTTTTTAATGTATGGGGAAAAAATATGTAGAAATACACCAGTCATGAATGATTTTTATTTGTAGTGACAATTCTTGAAAATAATTTCTTATTTTACCATATTTTGGTGTTGATTTTTTAACGTAACTTTTATTTTTCACAAATTATGTCTAAATTTTCACAAAATAGATACCTCTAAGAAAAAACCTAGACAAGACTCCTGATTATTGCTTTTCTAATTGATAATTAAATTTTAATATCATTGCATTTGTATCAATGTAACTTTTATTTCTTTGACTACCATCTGTTGTTATTCATTTATTTTTTTAACTCAGGATATTTTATTGTGTAATGCTTCTGAGTAACTGCAACCCGTTTTTTTTTAGACGTATCCACCCTTTCTTAAGAATCAAGTTTTAATGGGATGTGATGATGAGTATTATCATGCAAAAGAAAAACTGAAACTGATTACATCTGATAAAGAATCTGATAAGGATCACGTTGTAAGTATTTCTTATTTACAGTGTGTGTAAAATGTGTTAGATTTATTGAAAGATGTTAAAGCATATTCTTTATTTTTAGGGAACCCTTTCACAGTCAGAGTGGGAGGTTGCAAGTAAGTACAATTTGAATTTAAATATTACACAAATTGCAAATATACACAATACATAATTGCAAATATTTATTATCCCAATTAAACTCGGGCGTAGCAGAATTCATCAATATGTTTTGTTTATCACGTTTTTACTCGGGCGGAAGCAAAACAAAAAATAATGATAATCTGCTGTGATTGGAGGTTTGCCAATTTTTGTTTTAAGAGTTTTGCTGTTTGTGGGACTGCAGACGTGTGTTTTGTACAATTGTGTATACGACGGTTGATGAATATACATAGAAAAAGGAGTTTAAAAAAATGACGTTCGCGAACGAAAGTGAAAGTAATACAGGTGATGTTTCAGATTATGAAAATGTGAACATGTACAAAGACTAATATTCAACTTGTTTCATTTGCCCGAGATAACTCCGGATAGTAAACTGATGGCAAATTAAATAATTTTTTACACATAAAAAATTTGAAATTTCAACTTAGAACTTGTGTATTACGTTTTGTTTTAGTTCTTTGTATTTATTAATGAAATAAAAGAAAATATGTTGATTTTTTTCATTTTTTTTTTCAAAATAATTGGTAAGGAAAGCTGTTAAACAACATAAAGTCTTTGTGTGTAATTTTTATGGACCTTAACATTTGCTGCACGTATGTTGGGTTAAGTTTAATTTTTACTATAATTATCCTTGCAGCCACAATGGCTCGGGATAGAGCGTTCGCCTTCCAATGAGGCGAACCGTTTTCGAATCCCAGTCGATACGAATTCCGCATCCAGCTCGCACCGACCACAGTGCTGACGTGAAATATCCTCAGTGGTAGATGGATCATGGGTTAGAGTCCCCTTGCCGTCGGGCTAACCGTGGGAAGTTCTCGTGGTCTTCTTCTCCATGTAACGCAAATGCGTGTTAGCTCCATCGAAAAGTCCTCCACGAAGACAAATGTCACCCAATACTCGATCCAGGAGTTCCCAGAGTCTTGGATTGGGCTCAAAATTACAAGGCTACAGAGTTGAATATTAGTAGTTGTAAACCCATAAAATTGGGTCGGCTGTTCAACGACGGTTATAAAATATAAAAAATAATGATCTTTGTCTGGAGGTCGCAGAGAAATTCGAATTATGTAGATAATTCTGAAGATAATTCACTTTGTAAATTCCACTACACGGGTATTGTATAATATTGTATAGATTTATCCAGTCAAGATGTACTGCATTACTTTCACTAAAAATTTTGCAGTGTTATTATTGTCATTTTTTTTTAAGTAAATAAAGTGATTCTTAACGAATGCTTTTAAACTTAATATGAATTAATTATAATTTTTATTACAGGTATGTATGTTGTGTTTGCTTTCCGAAAGAAAGAAAAAACTGTATCAGCTTGATGAATAGTTTTTTTGGCTTTGAATTAATTATCTCATCATCTCATTTAAAATATTTTATGATGTATCTCATATAAAATTCTTCATAAAAATATTAAAAAAAGTATCTCCTTTTTATGTCTTGTTTTTTTAATTTATTTAATTCTACATTAAAATAACAAACTTTTTTTTTCCATTTTTTGTCAGGGTTGGCATAGTATTCGGCATGTGTATGATAGTTTTTACTGCATTGAAAAAAAACATTTTTTTTTTTTTGATGTTTACGCATGGTGCGTAGTGTTTTTAAAAAGTGCTTTTTTTCGTTTTTAAAAGCCCTTAAAGGTGCTTTTTTCATAGGGCGTTTTTAAAAAGTACTTAATTTTCCCTTTTCGAAAATTTGACCACGTATTCACCACCAAAATTTCACCACGTATTATGCAAACGCGTGATTTTTACATTATTCTATTCTACGTTATTCACAATCTATTTCACAATCTATTCACAATCTATTCGTTATTCACAATCTATTATATACCTTTGGTTCATATCTTATAAAAACGCCAATCATTTTACATGTTTGATGAAATACTTGCGAGTCCGCATGTGCATTTACTGAACTGGGTTCGGTGAGACTATTGCACTCTGATGTCCAACTCCGCTGCATTTTGCAAGATATTGTCAATTTCAGGCTTCATTTTCCACCCTTAAATTTAAGCCACAATTAAAAACACCAGTCTCAAATATCGGGCCGCAATTTTATATGGGATTTTTTTTATGTTTGAGGGAAGATTAAATATTACTGTCAGATTTTTATCAAAGTTTTTTTAATATCAAAAAGCAAAATAACAAGCATTACAAATAATACTTGTTACGTATCATTTTGAATCTTCTCTTAATCAGAAACTTAGTAACAAGAATTTTTTTTCTTTTAAATTTAATTCTGTGATAAATTAACATTTTTTTTCGACTTATTAGGGATTATAGCAACAACAACAAAATTCTCGAGCATCTGAAATTAAAAAAAAATTTCCGCTCATGCGCTTTTCAATTCAAAGAATTTAAATAAAACATGAGATTCATTCCCTTTTTTATGCGTTTTAAAATTTACAAATGTAAATAATTTCCTCTAAAATTAATGTTTTTTTTTATTAAAAAAAGTCAAATGGGAGAATTTCTTCGAGAAAATTTCTGATTTGACATACTGAATTATATTCACAGAATACAAAAAAAAACGAAATAAAAAAGAGCAACGTACACGATTATTTTTGTGTGTGAATAAATATTTTCTTGGGTGCAAACCTGAGGGAAAAAAAATTTTTGCACTGTTAGTATGTTAAATTTCACAGAAGCGAAGAAATTACATTTTTTTTTAAACGAAAGAAAAGTAATTTAAACCCATATAGATTTTTTACGAAAATTGTCCGCAAAAAATCATCCACTAATATATTTTAGTTTGCGGGTCACAAAAAAAGGCTTCAGGGGTCGGATGCAGGCCACCAGTTGGTAACCACTGCTCTACATGACCATTTTCAATATACATATCTCTTCAGGTGCAGGTCGTTGGGCTACCGAAGCAGGGGTGCCATCCCCTCTGCTGAGGATCCAAATTGTGATGGCATGTCTTCGGATCATCCTTAGGGATGTTTCCCAGACCGTCGCCAATAGCCCATTGTGCAGCTCTAGTGCGACGTAAATGAACTACAACAACAATATACATATCTGCCAACTCTGCTGGATTTTGCCGGTTTCTACTGGCTTAATAAAATTCTCCTGGTTTTTGTACATTTTCTTNGGGGGTGCCATCCCCTCTGCTGAGGATCCAAATTGTGATGGCATGTCTTCGGATCATCCTTAGGGATGTTTCCCAGACCGTCGCCAATAGCCCATTGTGCAGCTCTAGTGCGACGTAAATGAACTACAACAATATACATATCTGCCAACTCTGCTGGATTTTGCCGGTTTCTACTGGTTTCATAAAATTCTCCTGGTTTTTGTACATTTTCTTTGAAAAAAAATAATCCTATTGAAATAGAATTTTTTTACCGATTATTGCTTGCTTGCTAGAATATTTAAATAAATATTGCAAATACATAATGAAGTGAACATCATTTATAAAAATCAGCTCAAAACTTTTTTAATGTTCAATTTATTTTTATTCACAACTCTCTTTTTAAACTAATTAAAAACATCGTTTTACTTCCCTTAATATTGACCCATAATATTCAAATTGCACCATGTATTATATTACCGGATACTAGTGTCCCCCTCCAGAGGAAATAATTATAAGCTTATTAGGGGGTACACAATGTTGTGTTTTATGTTAGGTACTATGTATGTATTATATATAATAGACTTGAAATGAGGAAAAAATTCGCAATCAATATTATGTATTAAAACATGGCCCTATATCTCCTCTTAATTAATATTGACCAATAATATTCAAATTGAACCCCGTATTATATTATCGGGTACTAGTGTACCCCACTAAAGGAAATAATTATAGCCTTATTAATGGTTACACAATGTGGTCCTATGGATGGGTGGTCTAATGTAAACAATAACAATAGTCCTTAAACCGGAAGAAATTTAGAAAATTTCCGGTGTATCCCTCCGCTTATGTTATGACTACGAGGCGATGTGTGAACAAGCCTAATATTCTATGCAGTTTTGTTTTTGTAATTTGGGTTCAAATCTAAACATAATTGTACCATTCATAAGAGCTTTCAGTTGATTCTCAGAGGTAAGGCCAAAAAAAATTTTGGAAAGTTAATATCTCATTGTGAATAATTCTTAAGGTTTGCCATGTTTTGTATTTCATCCCTTATTTGGCTACATTTGAATAAAATGTCGCCAAAAATATCTTTTTAAGTTAGCCTTATTAGAAAATATTCTAATGATTATAACATTAATATGATATTGCTGAAGTTTAAAGGCTGAAAGAAAGAACTCGGTACATGTGAAATACTGCAAAAGATATGATGCAATAATATGATGGCNTGAGTTTAGTTTTCGAAAGTCTTGAAAGAGCAATTTTACCACTAGAGCCACCACCCTTAGCTTTACACGATCACCCATCCATAGGTTACAATGTAAGTATTTATATAATCGTGTGTTGAATAGCGTTAAAATGAGGAAGTTTGAAGTCAATATTCTGTACTACAATATGGTCCTATATCTCCCCTTAATATCCTATAATATTCAAATTGCACTACGTGTTATATTACCGAGTACTAGTGTACCCCACCAGAGGAAGTAATTACAGGCTTATTAAGGGTACACAATGTGGTCCTGGTCCTATAAGTTACTACTATTAACGTATATATACAATTGCGTTAAAATGAGGAAATTTGCAGTCAATACATATTATGTGTTAGTACAACATGGCCCTTTATCTCCCTTATGGTAGGGTACACTTGTAACCGGTAATATAATACGTGGTGCAGTTTGAATATTATGGGTCAATATTAAGGGAAGACATGTGGCCATGTTGTAATACAGAATATTGACTTCGAATTTCCTCATTTTAATGCTATACATTTTAACGCTATGGTCGCATTTTGGGCCCCCTAATAAGCCTAAAATTATTTCCTCTTTTAGGGTACACTAGTAACCAGTAATATAATACGTGTTGCAGTTTGAATATTATGGGTCAATATTAAGGTTAGATATAGGGCTATGTTGTAATACAGAATATTGACTTGGAATTTCCTCGTTTTGACTCTATTCAACATTCTTCCTTGGGGTTGAAGAATTTCAATGTTTCGAGAAAGTGAGAGCTCTTAAAACTATATCGCTAGTCTCCGCCTTTAAGACATCCTTCATCTGATCTAGGCGGGTAGAAAATCTCGTGTCAACAATGGGGTTAATGGGAGGTAAGAAATGTTCAATCTCGAAATTCAAATCTAACTTAGATATAATATCAGTGACTCCCTGCAGAAATCCCTTATGTGTTTTCAAGTTTCTCTCAAGGGACTGGAGAATTATTTATATTATAATTGGAATTTGTTATAATATTGGAATATATTATAATAATTGGAATATATTATAATAATTGGAATATATTATAATAATTGTTATAATTGGAATATATTATATTTGGAATTCAAATTATAATTGAAGCTATAATAAATGAAAGAAGTCGAAATGACTACTTTTCATATGAGCAATTTGAAACTTTATTTATCAAAACAGTAGTCACACAACCATTAAGCATACTATACTTTGGACACCAGAGCTTAGGGGGACCCCACAAGAAGCCAATGAAGAAAAATATATTTCTAGAAATTTTTTTCTGTTATAAGCTCTAACACAAGATCATGGTTTAAACTAAATTGCTATTGGTGTCTATTTATTTCAATCTCATGAGATGTTTTCCTGCTGCTGTCGAGCTGAGTTGTTTCTCTTCTGCTGTGGGTTGAGTTGTTTACCTCCTGCTCTCGAGTTGAGTTGTTTACCTCCTGTTACTGAGTTGTTGTGTTGTAGTTGTAGTTGAAAGTTTTGATAACTTAAAAATGTTCTCAGATTGGAATTTTTTTTTTTGCCAATGGCAGGCACTGAATTTGATTCTTTTGCCTATACAATGCCAGAATTGTTGCTCATTTCACGTTACCCATTGGGCACCTGTGAACCAAAGTCACGGAGGCGAGCAACATTGCCCACGCCACACTGCCACAAACCCATTTACAGGGTGGGCCACATTCACACATCATACACACAACAGAGGACGACACAAAGAAAGAGGGAGAAACATCCATGCCCAGAGCGGGATTCGAACCCGCAGCCTATGGCTTCGCAGTCAGGCACGCTAACCGCTCGGCCACCTAGCCGGCAGATTGGAATATTAATTCTAACCTATATGTTTGGTCATTAGGACTGCAAGATCAGCGATAATATAGTGAAAATGTGCTTGTATATTTGGAATTATTGGAAATTATATTCTGTTATTTATGTTGTTGTTAATTTACGTCGCACTAGAGCTGCACAATGGGCTATTGGCGACGGTCTGGGAAGCATCCCTAAGGATGATCCGAAGACATGCCATCCCAATTTTGATCCTATGCAGAGGGGGTGGCACCCCCGCTTCGGTAGCCCGACGATCTGCTCGCGAAGTCGAGCACTTAACGGTAGAACAGTTTAGCGACGACCAATACCGCACACCCTCGGTCCCTACGCAGACTGATCCAAGTGGTCGGTTTTTGTAATCATTTTTTCTAAGCAGTAGTACGACATCAGTTACTAATTTTCCGCGTACACCAGAAAATTGATTATTTAAAACTTGAACAGATTGAAACAATGCGACTCCATCTGTAATCAGTATGCGTTAATTTTTTCTTAATTTCATATTCAAGGAGACTTGGTTTGATTTTAAAAGTATTCATCTTTTTTAAATTTTAATAATGCAACGAGGCTAGAAAAAGAAGCAAAAACCCCTAGAGATTCTTCGAAGTCTTTACGACTGCCGTAAAATGCAAAATAAAAATAGCAATAAAATAAAACTGATAGTTTTATTTTCTTCCTTCTCTGACTATTTGAAAATTTACAATAAAATTAGTGTTCAATACAAGCATATATTTGTGTTATAAAGCTATCGCTCTATCAGTCTGTTTTAAATACAAAACTCTTTTTCTGTAATTCACTAATTTTCAAAAAAAGAGAAATCAAAATGAAATAACATATAAAGATTCAATTATTAAGTTTACTTATTATTAATTGAGAATTTTAACTGTATATGTTGAATGCCTTTTAAAGGTGTCGAATATTTTGAAACGTCCGGTCGCTGAGTAGTAGTGCTTCGCGCTCCCGTGCCACAGGTCCTGGGTTCGATCCTCGGGCCGGGAAAGGTTGTCGCAGCCTTTCATCAATTTAATGGGTCGATAAATGAGTACCAAGCATGCTTGGGAACTAAACACTGGGGGTTCCGCGTTCGGCTGACCACCTGACCGGAACATATGCTCCTGCACACCAGAGCCCGTGGTCAAGAAAACTGAGATGGGCACAGTAGGCCTTGGCCCTCTATGGGCTGTCGCACCACTGAGTTTAGTTTTCGAATTTTTTTGATTGAGATTGTAATGAATGAATCGAGTGTAATTAATAATAGATTGTAATAAATATTTATTTTGCATTATAATGTAATAAACGCTACGTTTTTCAAGTTAGCGAGAGAAAGAAAGGAACAATTTGATTTTGCCACTTAAACAAAAAGGATGGACGCATCACTTTATAAAGACGGAGAGGGGGGTAGCTGGTGATAGGATTATCCCCAACTTTAATTCCTCTTTCTCTCCATCGCTTGAAAGTTATGTGCCTATATTTTTCGTTTTAGGTGTGACAAAAATATTTTTGTTTTCTTTTCTGTCCACCTGAAAACATAGTTCTTAAAATTTATATTTTGTTTTTTCTTGTTTTAAATGTTACCTGTTAATGTTTGAAAATCGTTAAAATTTTGATTGCCAATAAAACGGAAATAAATTTTGTTTTACAATCTCTAGGAAATGTAACTTGAATTGTCATCAGACACAGAGTTTGGGTTTCAGACACAATTGAAATTTGTAGATTCTACTCATAAAGCGAAGAAATTCGAAGTTTTGCTTCACGAAAAAAATTCTCTTTAGTGATAAAATGACGATAAACTTAACTTTCAGTGATCCGGAAGCAATCGTAACTGGTTTTGTCAATAGAATGCTGGCGAAATTTGGAGCACTTTGGCTACTTAAGTTATTAAAATATCTATTTGTGATACGTCCTATTTGCCGATATAGTGTTAATAAAATGTATTTGTTGTGGTCAGGAAACGACTTGAATTCTCAATAAACACGGAGAGCTCAAGTACAGATTTGAATACTGTAGCTAATCGGAAAGTAATAGATATTTCAATTGCATGCTACCATCGTTATAAATACGAAAATGAGTTAATTCAGTTAATAATAATAAATGCTGTAGGTAATAAGAACAATTCTATAAACTGACAGAGAATTATCACAGGTGTCCCAACACTTTCAGAGATAAAAGAAATATTGTTTGTTAATTTTATTGATTATTAATTCAATTTTGATACAGTATTAAGCTTTCGCAAATTTTTTTATTCTCTCTAGAAATTCGTTAATAGTCGATAATTTTTTTTTACAAGAATATTAATTTGAGATCCACAGTAAAAAAATTTCACTTATTTGTTAGAAAAAATTTAAAAGGCATATTAAACGATATTACGAAACACCTGGAAAGTTTGAATAAAAAATTATGTTATATTTCATGGAATTAAAATGGAGGAAAAAAATAGCTTGTTGGACAGGGAATTTTTAAAAAAATGAAACATCAGAATTACTAAAATAATTTTAATTCGGCTCTAAGATCACAAAATATGTGGTTAGCGTTGAAAACTCTTCAAAGAGTTAATTGAAATTTTTTTTATTCCCATTATAGATCCTCCTATTGCAGTTATATAAATTTACTTTTGTAAACTTACTCTAATTTTATTTAAGAAAAGTATTTTTCCCTTATTTATGTTGATATTTCTAATGACATTTAAGAAGCATCAAAATCTTTTAAGTGCTTAGGGTCTCTAAGGCTCTTAATCCGGCCCTGCACACAGGCATTTATTTCTACATCAGTTCATGTATTATTCTACATAAATAACAGAATATAATTTCCAATAATTCCAAATATACAAGCGCATTTTCACTATATTATCGCTGATCTTACTAATGCAGTCTTAATGACCAAACATATAGGTTAGAATTAATATTCCAATCTGAGAACATTTTTAAGCTATCGAAACTTTTCCTCCGCAAATATTATTTAACAATTTTTTCAAACAATAACTGCTCAATGAATTAACGTTACGTATATAATAAATAATTTTCCAGTAGAGTGGAGTTACAAATGCGATACAAAATTCATTCTTATTGAAAAATAATGCGTGAATGAAACTTAATCTTCCTAGAACGGAATATATAAACATTTATGCAATCTTTTCGAAATTTGTTAAAATTAAATGCAATGAATATGGTGTTGTTGTTGTTCATTTACGTCGCACTAGAGCTGCACAGTGGGCTATTGGCGACGGTCTGGGAAACATCCCTAAGGATGATCCGAAGACATGCCATCACAATTTTGATCCTCTGCGGAGGGGATGGCACCCCCACTTCGGTAGCCCGACGACCTGCACGCGAACAATGAATATGTAAGATTAACATATTGATAATTTTTACTTATCGTTACAGATTAGATATCTATTCCATGCTGTAAAATTTCAGCACGTGAATTAAACAAGCCATAATAAATATATATATGAACGCGGGCGATATGGCGATTTAACAGATTTAAAATGTCGCCACAATGGTTGAAAAAGGTAACCGTTGCCACCGGAAATACAGCATTTTCACTTCCTTTTGCGCATTCCTTATATCTGTGAAAATCGGCAATCAACATCAACATCTGGGATTTCGGCTGTTTTTACGTAAAAATGTGCAATTAATTTAAAGAAATTTCGTTTGCTACTGTTTTGTTTAATGATGCCTCCTCCTATTAAAATTAAAGTGAGATGTATATATTTGTATATATTTATTTTGATAATTTTTTCCTGGTTTTAAAGGAAAATTTGTGCATGGATGATATATTTCTAAATTGGTACCTTTTCTCGCTAAATACTATTTTTTAGAAAAGTACTTTCATAAAAAGAAGCTTCAGTACGCCACACCTGCTCTACTTGAAGTATATTTAATTTTAAGTCGTGAATAATATCAGAAGGTTTGCAAGTGACTAATGAAGGTTTTAAATGAAAAAATAAAATGCAGGAGATTTCTGTATCCTGATCTGCGACGGAATAATCGCCAAGTCTTGGCAACTTCCGGGCAGCGACACGCGAGAAACCAAAGAAAAAAGATCACAGAAAGGGACCAACTCGAAATGTATAGCTCGTAGTCGCCCTAGCTCACTGCTGCATATTTTTTTTTTTTCTTTAATTTGCAATTTTAGAATCTATCTGCCATCTTGGCGATTGTAGTTGGTGTAACAGATGAATATCCCCCCAGGAAATATCTCCCCAACTACAATCGCCAAGGTGCCAAATAGATTTTAAACTTGCATATTTTTTAAAAAAAAAGCATTTTGATGTTACCTTTCGAGTTGGTCCCTTTCTGTAATGTTTCTGTTGCTGAGACTTGGCAATTATTCTGCCACACATCACAATATGAAAGTCTTCCTGGAGTTGACAAGACTTAGTTATTATTCTGTCACATGTCATGATACGGAAATCTTGCCTTTTGCCTTCCGCTGAGGAAACCATTTGACATTCTGAATTTCTTAGATAATCGTCACCAATGGCTCGACAGCCCAGGATGAGCCTTGGCCTTCTTGAGAAGTTTTTCCTGGCTGACCCTTTTGCTAATTCTAAGCACCTTATTAAGAAAAAGATTAAGTATCTCACTTTAAACCAAATCATAAAGAGAAATTCCAGAAAGATCTGGTGGAACAATCTCAAAGATCTCCCTATGCTACCAAGATGCAAAGCAATCATCAAGTTTCAACTGGACAGGACTGCCTCCTTAAACATCTTCATCAAATACATGTTGCACAGGGCCCTTTCTGCACGCTCTGTGACCATCAGGAAGAGATGGATGCAGACCTCCTTCACCGTAGCTCAGCACTCTCTGGGAAAAACATCTCTTTTTGTGACTAGTGCTTCCCATCGCAGAACCGCAACGATATTGTCACAGAACTTTGCGGAGTTTTTTCTTTTGGGATGTAGGTATTGATAGGAAGATAGAAAGCAAAATGAAATGTTTAAGATATGTTAGCAAAAACAGCATTTCATCAGGGGACACACTGTCTGCTAACACACTAGAGCTTTTCTGTACAGGGTGCGCAGCGTTTTTAAAGGTGCTTATTTTTGTTTTTTAAACGCCCTTAAAAGTGTTTTTTTTTAATTGGGTGTTTTTAAAAAGTGCTTAATTTTCCTTTTTTGAGAATGAGATATTTTCTTTGCCCTGTCAATTTTCGTCAGGTTTATGGAAAAGCGTGGTTTTCACATTGTTCTTTTTTAATGTTTTCATAAATAAATTAAATGCATTTTGGCGTACCGTTGTTCTGTACTGTATGAAAGCACTAATCATTTGACATGTTTGATGAAATGCTTTTGTGGGTCCGCATGTGCATGTAATGAGCTGGATTCAGTGAGAATTATTCGTGCTCTATTATGAGCAACTCGGCTGCATTTTGCAAGAGATTCTCAATTTTAGGTTTTATTTTCCATTCTCTGGAATCGAACGAAAAAATCTCTCTATCTTCTTATGGTGGCTTATGTAGTCAAGAAAAACAATTCTTTGTGAAAACTAGTTATTTTATCATGATCCTGTAAAGTCTTTGAAAATTGTTTTGCATTTTGTTAACTGTTATAGTGCTTAAAAATATTTTTTTAGTGCTTAAAAGGCGCTTATTTTTTGTTCAAAGATCTGGCTGCGCACCCTGTCTGTAGTCAGAGGTTTAGCAGACAGTGTGTCCCCTGATGAAGTGCTGTTTTTGCTAAGACAGAGGTGATTGTACTCCGGAAAAAATCCAGATTTTTTGCTAACCGCAATCGGGAAATTTCCGCAAATCCAAGGTCCAGAAGTCTCAAGAAGTTAACAATCAGATGACAAAGTTAACAATCAGAAAACTGCATTAGGCATCATGGACATAGAATCGTTAGAAAATCAACAGAACAATATTTCGTTCAACCGTTAGAAGGGGGGGGGGACTTTACAGTTATTTTAGGTTTAGTCAATTTTCTTGTTATGTATAATGAGGTGAAAAATTTAAATGCCTCCGTAAAGTTCGATTCTTCATTACTGAAGTAGAGAAGAAGGGGGCTCCCAAAGAAGTTTTTGGCCCGATTAGGCTAAATCTGACCCTGATAAATATTATAAAGGCTTTCAGTTACTGTGTTTAAATGTTTTTGTCTTTTCATTTCTACTTAGGATGGTTCTGAATTTGATTCTCCAACACCAAAGACTCCTCTCGTAATTTTGGCTAAACCTCCTGATAAGGTATGTTATGCTTTTTCCCCCCACCTAAAATCATAATAGTAACTGCAATTGCTGTACTTATTTTACTGATATTTAGATATTCTGAATCAACAGTTCCCTAAATATGCTCGGTAGAACCCTTAGGGCTCTATGGAGGAGTCACAATTTCAAAATTGTAAAAGGGTTTTAAAAAAAAGAAATTGTTTTCTTTGAAAAAAGAACATGATGCCTGTAATATTACCTGTACTTAGCTGTTAACTCTACTGGATTTTTCCAGTTTCTCCTGGTCTACTGGTTTAATAAAAGTTCTCCTGGTTTTTGTATATTTTAGAAAATTGTCTGAAATTGAGTAAGTTTGCCCCCCAAAAAAATCCCTATTGAAATAGAATTTTTGCACAGATTATTTCTTGAATAATTAAATAAGTATTACTAATATGTAACAAAGTGATCCTCATTTATAGAAATCAGTTTAAAACTTTTTTTTGTTCTATAATGTTCAGTTTATTTTTATTCCGAACTCCTTTTTTAAATTAATTTAAAAAAATCTTAATTATTTCTTATGAAATACATGCATTTTCGAAATTACGAGTAAACATAATTCACAACATTTCTCACATATTTAATGCCAATCATGACCAAAAAATATGACTTTTTTATTATCATATTTGTATTTATATTATTATCATATTATTTATGAAATTTATACTATTTTGTAGAATCTACTGGATTTTGCCTATCTATGTTAACGGTTATGCCTGTTTATAGTATTTCAGTTATTTTTATCAAATTTTTCAAGCAAAATATTAGTGATAAGAATTGTACTATTTAAAAATTGCACTAGTGTTTTCAATTTCACTTTTCAATTAAAAGTATTTAACCACAAATGTGTTTCTTTGATAACCATTTTCATTGTTCATAAAAAAATTTTATAGTTTTATCCTTTAATTTTCTTTTGTACGAAAATCATAATTCAGCTTAATGAATTATAATTCATTTCAGCCCGTGCATGCATCAAAAGTGAATTCAGAACTAGTCTCATTATTCTGGTATGAAATACTTCATTATGAATAGTAATGAGCCGTGATGGCTCAAGGGATAGAACGTTTGCCTTCCAATAAGGCAAACCGGGTTTGAATCCCAACGATGGCTGGTCAATAGGAATTCCGCATCCGGCTTGCACCGACCACAGTGCTCGTGTTAAATATCCTTAGTGGTTGACGGATCATGGCTTAGAGTCCCCTTGCCATCAGGCTAACTGCGGGAGGTTTATGTGGTTTTCCTCTCCATGTAATGCAAATGCTGGTAAGTTCCATCAAAAAGTCCCACACAAACTTCCAATACTTGATCCAGGAGTTCCTTTGTTTTCTGGATTGGGTTCAATATTACAAGGCTACAGAGTTGAACATTAGTAGTCTTAAACAAAAAAAAATTGGGTTGACTGTTGTACGCCAGGTATAAAATAAAAATCTGATTAGTAATGTTTCTTCTGTTAATATCAAATACAATTGCTAATAAACCAGGGTTGGGGGTTTAGACATCCTAAACTGACTAAAACTGTCCAAAACTGTCTTCAAGTGTCTAAAACTTTGAACATTGGTAAAAGGTAAACATCCTATATATGTAACCGTTGTACGCATAATAATTACATATACAGTAGAGAACCATTTATCCGGTATCCAAATAACCGGGAAACCAGAAAACCGGGGAAAATTTCGCTCGATTTTCCCGCCATTTTAAACTAGAACGAAAAAAGCGGAAATTGGACTCATCCTTGAAGTTGAGTAGAGGAAAATGGAAGGAAGGGGAAAAATTTTTTCCCGTTTACCCAGAGAAACGTCATTTCCTCCGTGACCTTGAAGGCAGGGAGGGGAGGAATGTTTTATTTTTTCCTTTAGGCCGTCAATCAAACTCAAGGGTGTGGCATGCTGATTTCGTTTTCTGCTTGATTTACGAGGGGGGTGGGGAAAATGCATTGCATGCATATCAGTGAACAGAAAAAGAAAAGAGAAAAATATATTTATTTGACATCGACTAATAAAAATAAAATCTTTTTCTTTTGAATAAATTCTCATTCTTTGGAAGAGCGGTATCAATTGCAAGTTTTTCTTGGTGTGGAATCACATCTGCTGTAATTAAAAATCTTGTTTTTATCAACAAAAAAAAAAAAAAAAAAAAGGAGAATTGTTTATTAATTTAAACATAGGATTATTTTATGAAGCAGATTGCAGTTTTGTTTTTCTGATTCCACTACGTTTGATTTTTTTTCTTTTCGCGATAAATTTCGCACTCAATAAATTAATTCTTTTTATTCATAAATTTTATCATTAGGTTTTTTTTTTTTTTTTTTTAATTCCGTTGATCTTGCCTTGTTCCGGGTTTTAATATTTATGCTAGTGCCTTTTTTAACTATCGTTTCGGTTCGATAATTTTCAAGTGTTTTTATTTAGATTAATAAGTTTTCCTTTTATTTTATCGTTTCCCCCCGTATAATTAGGTATGAAATATATTGCGTTATTTAATCATTGGTTTTGTTTATATTATTTAATTTAGGAATTGTAATTATTTTTAAAAAATAAATATGAGAATTTTGTATTTTTTAAACTTGATTTTCTTGTCTAAACTTGCAAATTTTTTTATTCTTTTAAATGTTATATTTCTACCATTTTTTTTTTTTTTTAAAGTTAGGAGTACCTTTCTTTTTTCTCTTACTTTATGCATTACACTTTTTCCTTGTACTTCGGGTTCGATAAAACATCGATTAACGACACTTTTTGGTCGATCCAGAAAACCGGGAAATTCAGATATCCGGGATAGCGATGGTCCCGAGCATCCCGGATAATTGGTTCTCTACTGTATTAATAAGTATTTCATACTTTTTATGCAATTTGCTTCAAATTATTAAAGAAAAATAATATAATAGGAAAAAATTTATAACTTTCGAAGCTCCACAATTCATTTGACAACATAAGTAAATATCTTATCTTTTAAATCTGAATAAATATGCTTTTAATACTGATAAATTATGTTTTTGCATAAGGATAAATAATGCAATATTAAAAGTAATAATAAATTTTTTTTAATAAAACCAAAACTTGTCTTCATTTTGTTACTTGCCCAAAAATTAACATTTTATTTTTCACAATATTTTTTTAAAAATTGTGACGTAATTTGAGTGAATAGGTTTTGGACAGGACAGTTTAAACCGTGGATTTTAATACATTCTGTCCTAACCCTTGCCAACTCTGTAATAAACTTTAATAAATTGTGGTCTTGCTATAAGAAGATCGATAATTTAGTGTTCTGTATTTGGAAAAATTGGGAGCTGCTGTTCTAAGTGATAGAGCATTCCTGTGAGATTTGAGATAAACAGGTCCACGTATGTGTATATATATATATATATATATCAAGGGTCTGTCTAGGTTTTTATGAGAGGTACCTATTTTGTGAAAATTTAACATAATTTGTGAAAACTAAAACTTATGTTAAAAAATGAACACAAAAATATGGTAAAGTTAGAAGGTATTTTCAAGAATTGTCACTACAAATAAAAATCATTTATGCCTGTTAAATTTTAATATATTTTTCACCATATATTAAAAAATGATTTTGCTATTGTGAAATTTTGGGCTTAAAATTGTATCCAAATTTAAAAATCATCATACATTGTTACATTTCAGCTTGAATTTAAAAAAAAAAAACATGCATTTAACAGTACTTGTTATTTTAACAGTATTTTCATTGTGAGAACATTTCCCTCGGGGGGTCATATGGAAAAAAGTTTTACTGAGGAAAAAATAAAGGTCTGTTAGAATAAATTTAGAAAAATGTTCCAATGTTTTGAATAGTGTTTGTATTTCAACTTCCTCTAAAGTTAACAGAGAGAGCGCCTCGTCCTCTAATTTGAAGAAAAATTCTGCGAAAAAGAAGCTCACTAAAATATGAAGTGACCGGTTAGGCTTACCGCACCACTCACCAAGCACCTGCTACCTATTCATATATGTGGAATCAACCCGGTATTTATCATTTCTTACGAGGATACAAAAACAAAATTTTAAGAGGTGGGGAGGTGAATCTTAAAACTAGCTTTTTTAAAAGCATTTTGTGAAACTACCGCTAAACGGTAGTAATATTGCCCTCGACAGAGCCCTGTATGTATATATATAAATAATAACTTTTTTTCTGTCTGTTATAACTTATAAGTATTTTGTAATTTCAAAAGTATTACTCGATATGAGTTTAATCAATTATAAACTGAAGAAATCTTCCTTATTTCTATTAGAATAAAGTAAAAAACATTTCATGTTTTAACAAGCATGTTTTTCCTGAAGTTGAATTTGTAAAGGTACCACTAAACGGTAGTAAAATTGCCCTAGACAGACCCCTGTATGTATGTATATATAATCACTTTTTTCTCTGTCTGTTATAACTTATAAGTATTTTGTCATTTCAAAAGTATTACTCAATATGAAATTAGTCAATTATAAACTGAAGTAATTTTCCTTATTTCTATTAGAATAAAGTAAACCAGAGTAGCAATGTATTGGCTAGTCCAAATATTCAAACTGAACTTTTGAGATCCCCCACAGTTGTTCAGAAAGCATCATCTGTCACTCCTGAAATAGAAGATAGTGCTATAATTGTCCAAGGAGCTGCTTCTACAAGTAAAGATAGCGACTCATTTTCTGATCTTGTGAAAAATGTCGCCCACCGTGTTTTTCATGTTCAACAAAAACCAGTCACTACACAAAGTGAATGTAAGCTTATTAAATAATTTTTATTTAATTAATTTCTTTTTAGAGCCAAGTGCTTTATTCTAAATATTCTATAACTATTGTTAAGAAGAAAAACAACGTAAATAATATTTATTACTTGTTTATGTTTGAAACACTTATTTTACTGTTTTCTAGGTTTTGTGATAAAGTTCGAATTTAATATAATATGTTGTTCATAAATGTTTGTGTGTATATATATATATATCTTTGTGTGTATGTAACATAAAAAGCTTCAATTAATATTTTCATGTTATTCCTTTTCTGTAAATCCATTTCTTAATTTATTATTCAAATTTCTTAATTTATTACTTGTGAATATGAAATAAGCATTAAGTCACATTCTTTCAACCAGGGTCCTGCTTTTGAGAATTTGTACAAATAGAGTCCTGTTATTGCAAAAATTGCTAAAAACCTTTTCAAGAAGTTTTTAGATTGTAAATAGATACAAGATTTATGCCGGCCTGGTGGCCGAGCGGTTAGCGTGCCTGACTGCGAAGCCATAGGCTGCTGGTTCGAATCCTGCTCTGGGCATGGATGTTTCTCTCTCTCTTTATGCTGTCCTCTGTTGTGTATGATGTGTGAATGTGGCCCACCTTATAAACGGGTTTGTGGCAGTGTGACGTGGGCAATGTTGCTCGCCTCCGTGACTTTGGTTCACAGGTGCCCACTGGGTAACGCGAAATGAGCAACAATTCTGGCATAGTATAGGCAAAAGATTCAAATTCAGTGCCTGCCATTAGAAAAAAAGAAAAAAAAAAGAAAGATACAAGATTCTGCTCAACAATTGCTGCTACTAAATTAGAGATGCAACATACAAATATTTGGTATTTAGCCCATACTGCTCAACACAGAATATTCATTTCGGATGAATAATGAAAACAAAATCACTCACATTTTTAATAATTTCAATTGACATATTTTAAATAACACAACTTAGTAATGTATCACTTTTAATGTGTTATGCATTAAGTAAACATAAACAATTCTTAAATTTATAATATTTTATTTAAAAAATTGCCAGAAATGAATTTTTATTTATATATTATTCTATTAATTAATTTTATCAATAAATATAAATTGATCCATTATTTATTTGCAAAAAAAAAGTTATGATTTAATATTAATAAGAATGCGCACATGGTGTTTGTAAAAGTAGAAATATTTTCTTAGAACACTACATTTAGAATTTAAACTTAGGGAAATTTATGCATGCAGATTTTATTAGCTCTTGTTATTACAACAATTCTACTAGTGGGTAGGGAATTCTTTCTTTCCTGCTTTTTATGAAGGAACCTAAAAAAAAAAATACTTCAGAATTCTTTAAGAATTCACGTACACCATAATTAAAACCTTTTCTGAAAAAAGGATTTTGTAGTATTTATTTTTAGTTTGCCATGTCTGAATTTCAATGACTCCATTCTTTTTGTATAAATTTACTACTGTGGGTCAAATTTTAAAGATATTGCTTATGGCAAACATTTTAGCATATTTGTTACTTTTTTATGTACGTTAAATTTAAAACTGTCCATAAACTTCACTCTCTAACTTAAAATGTTTAAAACATTTTCAGCAAACCAAAGTTAATCAGCCACAAATTATTCGTTAAGCATAATTCATTTATGTACTCTTAAAAAAATCAAATAGATACTCTAGCATTTTTGTTTAATATATATATATATATCATGGTGCGTAGCATTTTTAAAAGATGATTAAAGGTGCTTATTTTCGATATTCGTTTATAAAAGTCCTTAAAGGTGCTTTTTTTTTATTAGGTGTTTTTAAAAAGTACTTAATTATCCATTTTTGAAAATGAGATTTTTTTTTCTTTACCATGTCTATTTTCGCCATGTATTATGCAAAAGCATGCTTTTATCATTGTTCTTTTCAACGTTTTGACAATTCATTCAACCACAATTTATTTCAGCGTACCGTCGATCTGTAGCGTAGCGTATGAAAGTGCCTATCATTTTACATGTTTGATGAAATACTTGCGAGTCCACTTGTGCGCATACTGAGCTGGGTTCGGTGAGATTCTTGCACTCTCATGTGCAACTCCGCTGCATTTTGCAAGATATTCTCAATTACAGGCTTCATTTTCCACCGTCTGAAATGGAACCAAAAAATCTCTCTATTTAATATAATGAAGAAAGGAGTTCTTTATCAGAAACTAGTTATTTTATCAGCATCATGTACAGTCTGTTTTGCATTTTGTTAATGTATGTAGTGCTTAAAAATATTCTTTTTGTGCTTAAAAGGTGCTTATTTTTTGTTGAAAGATTTGTCTACACACCCTGTATATATATATTAAACAAAAATGCTGGAGTATCTATTTGATTTTTTATGACTTTTTTTCTAATCTTTTTACAATATATATATTGTAAAAAGATTTGTTATTTTGAAAAATTAACTATACAGAATGTTCAGTAAAAAAGTAGATTTCATTTGTATTCATTGCAAAAAGAAATTCTGATTAATAATTAAGGGTTTGATGTTCTTTTTTTAGCCAATGATCAGAAGCAGGTAACTACACCAGATATGTCATATCCAGTCAAATTAGTTGATGAATCTTTGCAATGGTGTGACAATGCTTTAGAGGTAACTTTTCTTAATTTTTTTGCTAGACTTCATATGCATTTACACTGTACCCCGTGGCAGAATCGTAGCGACATTATCGCAGAACGTTAGATAGTTCTTGCAGAAAAATTTTTCTCTTGGGAAGTAAAAAGTTTTAATTTTCTTTTCTGCTGGAATTTACACGTAAAATTTGAAGCGTGCATTTAAATAATCACTTTTTGAAAAGCTCAATTTATGCCAATGTCGTACATCCATTTTGATTGTGTTTTTGTCAGTTATTGACTTTGATTTTCGTGTGGCATTTTGATTTTCGGATATATTTCAGGTGATATTGGAAATTCCCATTGCGCATTTGATCATTTACTTTTTAAGGCAAGGATTCTATCAATTTTTCTGGCAGTTATTGCTTTTTATTTCCACATGGTTTTTAAAACCCGTTTTTTTTTTTTACATGTTATTATTTTTTACAATAAACAAATCTTGAAACGAAACATTCCTTTCTGTAAACCCTTTCTGAAGGTTGTTGATCTATTTTTTTGATGCTAACTGTTTTAGAATTCAGACATTTAATTATTTTTTTAACGTGATGATGATTTGCAAAATGCGATAAAGGAAACAATTAGTGCGTCTCCCCCCCCCCCNCCCCCTCTACAAAATGCAAAAATATCACCCATAATATTAGAATCAAAAAAATATTGCATATTCAATTGAAAACATTATTTGGTTTTTTTAAACACAGCATTTTTGTTACCTGAAATTAGTAACATAAATTTTTGTTATTATTGAAAGTATTTTGCAGAAAGATTTTAATGCTAGAGAGTTTTATTGCAGAAAGCCCGAAAAATTCTGCCACATTGACTATACACTTAAATTTAATGATTTTTTTTTTTTTAGAATTTAATTACATTTATTGAATAGTATTTTTGATTTTAATTAAATGTTTGAGAAAGTTGTTTGTTAGTTATAAAGTGTTGAAGTATTTAATGTTATGAAGTAAGTTTGCCCAAATTGGATATGCTTATGGTAGGAATTATATTAATATTTTATTTATTTTTTATGCATTTTTGTTTTGTTTTCTGTGTCTTATTTTCACTTTTTGTGTTGCTTTTACTTGATAAAATTAAGTTAAAGGAGAAAAATCTCTCCTTTTTTTTTGGTTCTCATATTATTGTATTTGTAACAATATAACCTAGAACATCTAGACTTCTCAGGGGTTTGAAAGGACGATAGTATTTTAGATCATAGTTCGTAGCATTTTCAAAAAGTGCTTAAAGGTGCTTATTTTTGATTTTCGTTATTTAAAAGCCTTTAAGGGTGCTCTTTTTTTCATTGGGTGTTTTTAAAAAGTGCTTAATTTTCCTTTTTCGAAAAAGAGATTTTTTCTTTACCGTGTTGATTTTTGGTATTATGCAAAAGCGTGCTTTTCACATTGTTCTATTAAACACTTTCCAAATTCATTCAACCACATTCCGTTTTGGCGTAAACTATAGGGCCATAGTGTGTGAAAGCTCCAATCATTATACATGTTTGATGAAATACTTCTGAGTCCGCATGTGCCTCTACTGAGCTGAGTTTGGTGTGATTATCGCAGTCTCATGTGCAAATCTGCTGCATTTTGCAAGATATTCTCAATTTCAGATTTCATTTTCCTCCCTCTAAAATCAAACTGAAAAATCTCTTGATCATTTTGTAATGGCAGCTAATAAAATCAAGAAAAGCGTTCTTTGTCAGAAACTAGTTATTTTATCATGATCATGTAAAGTCTTTGAAAATTATTTTGCATTTTGTTAATGTACATATAAAAATATTTTTTGAGTGCTTAAAAAGTACTTAAAAGGTGCTTATTTTTTGTTGAGCGATTTGACTACGCCCCCTGTGAATACTTCACTTATGGAGCAAAAGAATTATCTAAGTTAAAGGTTAATCAATTTTTAGCATGCTTGATTTTGTTATAAATTTACTTTCTGTGGAAATTTACTTTATAAATTTTGTCAACAGTTATTTCTATGGATTTTCACAGTTTTTGAAATCTAGATATTTTAAAACAACATTTCTGTGACACATGGATTGCACATTTGGGTTATTTCTTTTTAACCGCTTCCCTTACCAATTATTTTGAAAAAGAAAGGCAAAAAGTCAACATATTTTTTTATTCCATTAATATATACAAGGAAATGTGTAGGAAACATTTAATTTACCATCAGTTTACTATCGAGAGTTATTACGGGCAAATGAAAAAAGTTAATTACAGTGCAACCTCGAAAATCCGGACTGCTGGGGGGGTTGGATGGTCCGTATTTCCGAAATTTCCGGATTTTAGATACCTTACTTGAATTGATAGAATTATCGAAGTTTCGAATTCGCCAGGCTGATTTCGCGATTAATCACACGTGTGTAGACCCCGACGTCGATTTTAACATAAATATACTCTTTAAATAATAAATAAAAGACATTAAAAATCAAACTTTCGTCATTTTCCCCCCGCAATCGATCGTTTAGATAACATAATATTAGCAATTAAAACTAAAAATATAGGCTTAAAACGCGAGCTGAATTTCAACTTATAACCGAAACAGATGCTTCTAGACTAGACTGTACCAGCTGATACTAATCCTTTTTTTGTTGGGGGATGAAAGAACTTGTCCCTGCTTCCTAAGCTTCAAGGTTAAGAAGGAACCAGTTTTCTTTCATCACAAGGGGGAAAAACAAGGAGATGGAAGAATTCCTCCTTCTGAGGGGATTCCCCTTCAGGAGGAGGGGATTCCCCTTTATATTCTTTGTTATCCATACAGAGCTGATTAGAATGACTGGAATTTCCTTATCAGCTATGAGCTGTCATTCACACCCCACCTCTACCTCTTCATCTACTGCTTCATTGTTGGAGAAGAGTTGTGGTTTTGCATTAAAATTTTTATTTTAAGCGATTTTTTAAAAAAATTTTCTTTTGAAATTTTTTTCTGAGGAACTGGACGTATGAGTCCGGATTTTAGAGATTTCCGGATTTCAGAAGTCCGGATTTTCGAGGTCGTACTGTATCAGTCTTTGTATGATAGTTCTTAAAACTAGGGACAACACAAAGTGATACTTTTCAAACGTCAAAGAAGGAATATGCCTTTTTTTTTTTACTCTTATGGCTATGTAAATTCAGCAACCATCGTATATACAATCGTACAAGACGCGTGTGCAGTCCAACATCAAAACTCCCAAATCAAACTTCCAATCACAGCAGATTATGTTTTTGCTTCCGACCGAGTAAAAATGGGATAAAACAAAATGTACTGACAAATCCTGCTACGCCCAAGTTTTCTCGGGATGACAAATAGTTGCAATACATACATACCCAAATTGATTTGGGATAATCAGGGATGCGGTTAAAAAGGCACTCCATCTGCTACCATCAGGTTTTATTAATAATTTTTTTTGGCAGTAATTGATACAAATCTTTTGAAATACTAATGTGTTTGATTATACGTTTGTATTATGGCATGCATAATTTTGTAATCGCTTTCTAACATGCTTGATTTGCAAGGATTTCATTGGGTAATTTTCTTTGCTTTTGCTTCAGTTATTGCAACTGATTTCTTCATGGTGTTTACAATTGATTTTTTAACACAATAATATTGCGATCCGCAATTCTTAACATCTTCCTGCTATTTTAAGATTTAATATTTTTTCTTGTCTCAAGTTAAAATAAATTGGGTGGATTTTTGGAGGTTTTCCAATTTTAAAAGATCAGATTTTCAAGGTTGTACTGTAATTTGCTTTGACTAGATTGTTACACTATCAAAAAGCACTTTTTTTGCGAATGTAACCATGTAAGTTTGAAAGAAAGTCATATAATTTATCGCATTTTATTTAAATTGATTTTTTAATCTTTTATTTTCTGAAAACTTTTCATAACTTTTCTTGTTTTCCATTTGATTTTAATTATTTATGTGCATTTAATTGCATTTATTCATATATATTTGATTATATTTGTATAATAATGATTATATTTATATGTATAGTTAACTCTGGATATAATGCACTCTGTTCTTCTAGTGAAAACGGATGTTATAACGTGAGATCGCTATATTGTGAATCCGAAAAATTTGTGCAAATGTTTACTTGTATTTCATAAATGCTGGGTCCATTAATAAGCAACCCGATATTATTAAATAGATAAAAATAAATAACATGAATTGGATGGCCCACGTGATACGAATGAGTGATGACAATGCAATAAAAAAGATGCCGCTTTTTAGTCCTACTGGAACAAGAAAGAGGGGAAGGCCGTAGTCGAGATGGGTTGACTCGGTGGAGGCTGATTTCAGTTTATAAAAAGAATTGGATAGATCGGAAGTCGTTATGGAGAAATCTTCAGAGGAAGGCCTTAGCCCACATTGAGCTGTCTGGCCAACTATGATGATGGGTTTATTTTGGCAAAAACATCTGCATTTTAAATAAAATTATGAAACTGCTTAATGTGCAGTTTTTTATGTGAATAAAGTAAAAGTATTTATTTGTAATAATATTATAAAGGTTAAAAATGCATTTATATTTTTTCAAGTGGCATCTTTTCATATTGGGCATAAACTTTAAACCATAGGTTTCCAATGAAAGCATCCCCCAGGGGAAGGTGAAACTCTTCTAGTGAAACTGAGGGGTGTTATGGATTTTCTGGAAATTTAAAATCTACTCTTTATCTTAATTAAATATGCAATTCTTTAAAAGTCAGAAATTTATGATTAGGAAACTTTGAAGTATGTAAATATTTGTTTTTTAATTCTTTTTATAAAGAATTCTTGAGTTAATTTATTTCTATAATTTCTTTTCTTTGTTTAATATTTCAAAGAGATATTCTATTTTTATTACAGTATTTGCATGATGGAACTGACTTTTATGTGATTGGTGTTATTGGCTTGCAAGGTGTTGGGAAATCAACTATCATGTCAATTATTAGTGGAAATTATTCTGAGAAATCTAAGTGGTAAGATCTCTCTCTTAATCCTAATGGAATATGTTTATGCAAACATTATAATCATAATTAACTGGTGAAAGATTTGGCTTTGCACCCTGATTATGTTTAAAGTTTTAGCTCAATTTGTTTTCGACTTCATTTAATTTCAGTTCTTCATTTGATTTTACTAACATTTTTAATTTTTCTTTGCCTAAGCAACCATTTGCAACCTTGAATGTGTGTACTTTTGAGGTACTTCATGTACTTTTGCAACCTTTATGATATTTTCTTTTCATACTTTTAGACTAGGAAGGAGAAATTCTATATTATGGATGTTTATTATATAGCTTTCTGTCTATTTTGTTATAATAAATTTTTTTTAATTTTAAAATAGTATATAAATAAAAGCATCATGTATAATATTTTTTTATATCTTCTAGGCAGCTTTTTAAGCCACAAACTAATGATTTGAAAGAAATTGGAGAACACTGTACAACCGGCATTGATATATATGTGACTAACCAAAGGGTTATTCTTTTGGATACACAAGTATGCATTTATTAGTTTTTATAAAATAATGTGTGCCAAAGTAACCCTACAGTTTACAATTTTTATCAAGATTTCCATGCATTCTATAATGTTCAAAAATAAATAAATAATAATAATAATTTTCTGATAACTTTTAATCTAAGGATCAAATTTTCAGATTCTTCAAATACATCTTAATGGCTTGAAAGTTTTGCACGTACCAATTAATTAGTGTAGACAATAATTTTATGTTATAAAATATTATATCAATATATTTTGATTTCTGTTATTTTATAGTACATATGCTCGGAATTGTGTAAAGTCAAATAAATTTTTTTTTCTTATGCAAATTTTGCTTTCCAAAATTATTTTGAAAAAGGTATTGCACTAAAGAAAGCCAAAATTTTTTAGGAAATTATGATCTAAAAAGAAATTTTGTTGATAAGGAATATTAGGCTCTGCTAACTTTCAGCACTCCTGCTTATATGTACATGAATATTTCTTTTAAATCTTGACTCTAATATATGAGATTCGTGAGCCTGATTAATGAACTAATTATAATTTACAAAAAATATCACTGTTTGTTTAAATGAGTTAATAATTTTTTCAATCAAACAATTTAAGGGTTTAATTAAATTATTTCAATGAAGACTTGGATGCATTCTATAATGTTAAAAGGAAAAAAAAACTTTTTGACAACTTTTGATCTAAAGGATCAAATTTTCAGATATTTCAAATGCATCTTAATGGTTCAAACGTTATACATATATAAGGTATCTGTACACCTGGAAAGTCATGAATTTCGGTATTGAACAATTTTTGTCATGATTTTAACTATTTTTTAAAAAAAAATCATGGAAAGTCATAGATTTTGGTCACTGAAAAATCTAATTTTTAATATGGAATCCCCCCCCCACCACCAATTTCATGGTGTTTCTTTCAAAAAATGAAAGAAAAAATGTCATTTCTATGGCAAATTATCTTATTAACTTCTGTGATTTCAGAATATTTTTTATATTTTATTTTATCAATTTAAAATTCTAGCTAAAGCATATACCAATTAATTAGTGTAAACAATAATTTTAATCAGTAAAAAAAAAACCATCTGCTTTTACTGAATAAATATACCTTTTCCTAACATTTTGAACCTTAAAGTAAATTTGTGCCTCTTTTTTTAAATATTTTTTTAGATTATGTAATAGGTCATTTAATTTTAGTCATTGAAAACAATAAAAGGCCAGTTGAATAGAAAATAATTACTTTCTTCCGTAAAAAATTTAATCTTGAAGAGGAGACTGTGTGACATGTTGAAGTGACTGTGAGGTCTATTCTGCTCAAAGATTTGAGCATATAAGGCAACACTGCATTAAGACCTGGGAACTGCAATATATACCTGTAAGGTGTCTGCTGAACTTTATTTCAGCCATAAGGCTTTCTTGCTAATCATGATTTAGGGTTTGGGTTCAATAGACCTCTGGTCGATGTGCCCTGCTCTCTAGAGCTGCCCATCCTCTAAATCTAAATAGTGGTATGATTTTTTTTTCTATCAGTTCTATTAGAAAATAATTGAGATTCTGTTATTTCTCATAGGTCATGTACTGTGTATTTAGTACTTTCTAGTTTGAGTTTTATGCTTTCAAAATCTATTTTTATGTGTGTAGCCAGTTATCAGTGCATCTGTCATGGACCACATGATTCAATATGAAAAGAAACCTCCCGGAGGACCAGATTATCATTCTGTGGAAAATGCATTACTTATGCAAGTAAGTTCTCTATTCAATTGTAGCTGTTTCACTTGTTCAAAATTTCATTAGATAAAACATAGCTTCCAACTCTATTGGGTTTTTCCAGTTTCTCCTGGTCTACTGGTTTAGTTAAAATTCTCCTGGTTTTTGTACATTTTTGAAAATTTTCTAAAAATGAATAAGTTTCCTAAAAAGCCCTATTGAAATAGAATTTTTGTACAGATAATTGTTCAGTTTATTTCCATTCGGAACTCTTTTTTTTAAATGAATTAAAAAAAATCTTTTAACTATTTTTGATGAATTAAATGCCTATCAATATTTGAAATTATGAGTAAATATAATACAAAACATTTCAAGTATTGTTTAAGGTCAATCATAACTGGAAAATATTGCAGTTATTATGATGACTATAAAAATCCCTAAAATTCCCTATGTGTAAAATATTTAATACATTTTGCAATAATTATCTTGAAATTTATATTATTTTACTGGATTTTATCCTATCCATGTTGGCAGCTATGAACATACCTGTAGAAGTTTCATTAAAAACATTGTAGTGTCACAACTAACAGAGAGGGTGTGCGAGTAGCTATGTAATTCTATTTCATAACTACTCCACAAATAGGAAAACAAAAATTTCTCATCTGGTGAAAAACAAAGCATCATGGACCTTGAGTTAAACAAGCCCAACATGTGTTACGACATATATTTTTTTTTATAACCGTCATTAAACTGCCAACTGAATTTTCAGTTTACAACTACCAATGTAATTTGAACCCAATCCAGAAGACAAGGAAACTCCTCGATTAAGTATTGGAAGGAAGTAACTTGTAGTTTGAATGTAGAATGTTTGAGTTTTCACAGCAATTACTTCTTACAAAGCAACGGTCAAGGAATTGCGCGTTGGTGAAGGAAAATTGATCGAGTTTCGGAAATCAAAGACCGAAAGCTCCAAAATTTCAAAAGTGGCAATTCGAAGTTTGTCGGTGCCTAAAAACTGCGTTGACTCAGAAAGATTGTTTTCTAAGTATAAAAGTGTATTAAGTGATGAAAGACGAAGGATAAATGAGAATAATCTGACACTGTACAATACTTTGTACCAAAATTCTGTTCATTTAAATAAAAATATTAATATTGCTTGAAATTCAAAAAAATACTTTTATTGTGCATTTTTAAGCTTTTTTTATTATTTGTGCAATTTCTGTCTTTTGCATCATTTATATAATAAATTTTTTTATGTTTAGATTTTGTGTAATTTTCAAAATTTCCCGCAATTTTCCGCAAATTTGGGATCTTTTTTCCCACGACAAACTTACAGCCCTAGTCATGATGTTTTATGAAATCATCAACATTTTTAAAAAATATTTAGCAATCTGCTTAAATACTCAGCTTACTGTAATTTCAAATAATCACAATTTTTAAAATATTAAAATAATAATAGTAAAGGCTGCCTCTTTTATTTTACTTTTGATCCATTAATTGTATCAAAACCAATCATTGTACATTTAATTGTATATTTGCTTTAGGTCAATATTTAAATCGCACAATTTTCTTATTACATATAACTCAAAATGTAATTACACACTTTTAATTTTTTTTTTAATTATAATTAAGTTATTTATTATGATTGGATTTTTCGCTCATTGTTTCGAAAATTTATCTCAATAGAATTCAATCTTATGAAATATTGATTTTTAGCTAAATATATCTGATGGCCGGAGACGATTGTGCTCCGGAAATAATCTGGATTTTTTGAAAACTGCGATCCGGATGTCCAAGGTACAGAAGTTTCAAGAAATTATGGATCACATTTTTGTACAAAAATTCTTATATATTTTATTTAAAAACATTAGAACTGGAATTTAAACTTGGCCTCTCTTTCATTTGTTAAGATTTTGATTAGAGATAAAAGTAAACTTATGCATAATTATTCATTAAAATTCTGCTGCATTTAATTTATTTAGAATTTCATGTTTTGAAAGTATCAATGGTATAAATTTATGAAGGCATACTTTTTTGAAATGTGTCATTAATGAATTTATTCAAAAAATTTTCAGAAATTTTTTAGTTGGATTCACAATCACCCCTGGCTCAATGTTTTATTGATATGCATTTATTTTTTATACCCAAATTTGGTTATCAAAATACTGTACCTAATTTTTGTTAACATTTTAGGCTAATTTTTAAAAATTGGGTTATTTTATCCTGAATTAAATCCTAGCATCTCTGAATATATTTCATTTTTGACAATATATACTCAGGTACATTCATAATCATTTATTTATTTTGTTTTTAGTCTTTACAACAAGTTGCTTTTTTGATGGCTGTTTGCCACACAATTATTTCTGTTCAGGATTGGTTCATCGACTTGAATTATTTGAGGTAAAATGTTTTCTGTGCAAAAGCTATAATTTTAGTCTCATGTGTCTAATGTCAAATTATTTTATGGAACATAAATTTTTTTCATTTATATTTTTATCATAAATCTTTACAAATAGATTTATCTTATACTTTTTATCCCCAAGGCCTAATTACAACGACATTGTCGCAGAAATTTTGCGGAAAGATTTTTCATTTGGAAGGGAAAATTTTTGGTTTTCTTTTCTGCAGAATTTTTTTAAAAAGATTTATTTTTTGGGCATCGGAGAGGAAGGAAATAATCATGACTTTTCCTATTCTCGTTTGAGATTTTTAAAAAAAAAAAGTCGGTAATGATTCAACTAGAATTTCAAATTAATAATATAAAATAATTCAGAAATCGCGAAAGTTTGAAACATAGTTCGCTTTAAAAATTATGTTTTCTCTTTGAAGAACATCATACATAGATTTTACATACTTATTTAAGTATCTCTTTTTTTAAGAGTCTTATTCTCGTGATTCGTGATCTTCATTTTGGGAATTACTGCATGGATTTTGCGATTTTCAATTTATGTACGAATTTTAATTTATTATCGTTTAATTTATTTACGAATTTTAATTTGTGTAATGGTTTACGGAATTCAAAAGAGGGAATAATTAGTGCGTTTTTCTGCCTACAAAATGCAAAAATATCGCCTATAATATTTGTTTATGTTAGCCTGTTTATTGATTTTAGAAAACTTTGACAAATATTTAAGTTCTTGCATTAAAAACTTTGCTTCACTCCGAGACGTATGTTTTTGATAGTTGCACTTGCTCCTAACATTAGAAACAAGGAATGTTTAAGCAGAAAACTAATTAATTTTTTGGCAACAAAATTGTGTTTTGCGCTTTATGTCAACATGTAATAAGTCCATACAGAAATTTTTCTTTTTAGATTGTGTAATGGACTAAACTAAATCTATCATTTATAATGAAAATAAAAATTCCTCTTAATACTTTATTGAACTCATTAATTTTTCTACAACAGAAATGTGTGAAAATTTTTTGAAAGAAATATTTTTTTCTTAAAAAGCAAGTGTATAATTTAGTTTCACACATTGCTCACTATAAGCAATGTGTGAAATCTTTAAGCATTTACCATTTTTGACCATATCATATAGATTTGTTTTATTGTGTACTTTATTTTATGTATAGAATTATTTTGTCTGCGGAGATGTTGAAGCCCACAACTCCCTTAAACATACACGATCTTAGTCTTCCAGACGAACCTGCCGAATATTATCCTCATTTAGGTAAAGTCTTTGAAAACTATTTTGCATTTTGTTAATGTATATAATGCTTAAAAATATTCTTTTAGTGCTTAAAAAGTACTGGTGCTTATTTTTGTTTTGATTTTGATTGTGCACCCTGATCAAATAAGTAAAAAATTAGAGGGAAAAGTGTTCCATCAAAATTGAGCCAAAATACTCACCACATATAATTTAAATATGACTTGAAATATGGGATGTTGCTTACCATTTACCAATAGTTGAAAAACAATCAATGATGGTGGCCTTTAATTCTGCTACATATTGAAATTACCCATTTCAGTTTTCACAGCCCTACTGATGATAGTCCTCCTTTTTGGGGGGATTAAAGTTAAGGTAAAGGATTTGTCATTAACAACAACACCCTATTAACCAAAAACCACCTGTATTAAAAAAAATTTAACATACATTTAAACATTATCTTGCTGTAAAATTTATCTTGAGCCACCAATTCTCTCTACAAATGTCAAAAAATGGGTTTATAGCATTTTTAGGTAATCAGCAGCCTTCATGCGGCCTGCGGAAAAAGTATCGTTAAGCTTACCACCATGGCCGAAGTCTTCCCACACCATGAAAGAGCCTCCACCATGCAGTGCAGAAGATTAGCATTTTCCTTCATCTACTGTTCCATTTTATATATCACTCAAACAATTTACAATATTAAAGAATTTAATTTGAAAGCACAAGGGAGTGGTAAAAAAGAGTTTACATTATCTAGACCGTTTGGCATGGTATGAGAAAAAAAGGAGGATTTCTAATACATCATTTGGAGGCACATGAATGAAGGCTTCTGCTATAGAGGTCATTTTAACCTTCATGCCACCTAGTGGCTACAGATCAGCAAAAAATGCTAGAAACCCATTTATTGTCATTTGTAGAAAGACCCAAGGCCAGATTTTCCAGCCGGATATTGCCTCGATTTACGTCAAAAAATTTTGTAGTGGTATGTGGGGATGGTAATTATTGACAATGCCAACCTTCATCTATCTAAAGGTACCTCAACATAGAATCGAGTTAACATGTCTTATATACTAGTGAAATGGAAATGTATTTTTGTAGTGGTTGACACACTACAGTACTCCCCCACCAGAATTATATCTGTAATGAAACTCAATGAACGGATACCACACGTTGATTCATTGTTGTTTTGTGAGATCCTGAGAGAGCTGTATTAAGATCACCGGACTTTGAGTGCTGATCATGAGAGCTGTATTAAGTTGAAGATCGAGGTCGCCCTTGTGTTTCCTTCAGCAGTCAAGTGTATACATTGTACGCACTGTGTGATCGAGACTGAGTAGCAACGGCGCGAGGTGGATATTATAACAGTCACAAGTAACAAGTCAACTGTTCAATTGAAACCATCCGTTGAAGTAGGCGTGTTCAAATCAGAGTGAGGATTTCTGTCAAGGTATGCGTATTCACATCGAGTCCGAAGGTTACCAATGTGGGGATAGTAGTTATCGACCATGTTAACCATCATCTATGAAAAGGTACCCCAACATAGAATCGAATTAACATGTCTTATATACTTGTGAAATGGAAATGTATTTTTTTGAAGTAGTAGACACACTACATGGTACTTTAGGGTTGGGAACAGGAGGCTTGTCATGAATAACATGTCCTTTCTCTTTATCCCATCAATCCCCAAGAAAATTTGGAAGACTATTCTCAATAGGAATGTTTGCTACAAAATGAGGCAGTTACACTGCTGTCCTCCAGGTATAGGTGCTTGCTACGCAACATCACGTCTTATGTAAATGTGGTGGTTAAAGTTTTATTGTATAAATCTCTTTTAAGATCAATTTTAACTTATGATCGTGACACCTGGATCACGTCTCGTATGGATTACGTTGGGGACCTTTGAGAGAAAGGTCTTGAGAAGAGAAGTACTTTGGGTGGAATTCAAATAAATGGTGTGTGGCTTAGGAGAACAAATTTAGAGCTTCATCATTCATGTAAGGAACCTGACATAATTAACTTCATTAAGCACCAAAGAATGAAGTTTGCAGGCCACGTTAGCAGAATGGGTGACGACCGTATCACAAAAAGAGTTTTCAATGTCTGGCCAGTTGGCACACAAAAAAAGACACGCTGAGTTTGAGATGGATAGATGGCCTAGAAAAAGACTTTATAGCAGGGTTGGCAAGGTTTAGGACAGAATGGATTAATCCACGGTTTAAACCGTCCTGTCCAAAACCCCTTGGTCCAAAACTGTCTTAAACTGTCCAAAACCCTTTTACTCAAATTATGTCACAATTTTATCTGAACAATATTTAAGAGGTAAAATAAACATGGAACTAATAATGTATTGATAATTAAATCTACTACAGAATATTTGTTTTTAAAAGTATAATGTTTTATTGTATAATGTTTTATTAATATTGTTTGACTCTTCAATTTAAACATTAAACAAAGGACAATTAATCAGTAATTCAATTGGTCCTTCAGTTCAATTTCAGTTCGTTCTTCAAGCTCAATTGGTCCTCTCATTCAATAGTACATAACTGAAGTTGAACCTTGCTATACTGGTTAAGCTATTAGGGACTAAGTGCTTGGTTAGTCAAAAACAGATTTATTTATCTATTCAAGAATACTGTTATTTCAGTCATGTTCAATGCTTTTAGCATAGTGGTGATACATCACCAGTGTCAGTAACTGAAACTGATGTTATGCCCTTCAAAACTGTTAATGCATTTTTCAGTTATTTTGTATTTTCAATTTAAACTAATATATTTATATTTAAAAAACATTTCTTTCTAAAATAGATGTCTTTTTTATCATCCTGTGATGCAGAAATTATAAAATTTTTTTAAAAAAATATTGTAAAAAATAAAAGGTTAATTTTTAAACAAATTTAGTATTTTTTTTTAAAAAAATTATTATTTTTTAATATTGCATTATTTATCCTTATGCAAAAATATTATTTATCAGTATTAAAAGCATATTTATATTTAAAGGATTAGGTATTCACTTTTGTTGTTCAATGAATTATGGAGGTTCAAAAATTAAACCTTTTCCTATTATATATTATTTTCTTTTGATAAGTTAAAGTAAATTGTATAAAAAATATCAAATATTTATTGATACATGTAATTATTATGTGTAAAATGGTTACACCGATAGAATTTTTACCTTTTACCAAAGTTCAAGGTTTTGGACACTTTAAGACAGTTTAGGACAGTTTTACCCAGTTTAAGACAGTTTAACCCAGTTTAAGACAGTAAAACCCACGTGTCCTGTCCAAAACCAGTTAAGGACGTCCAAAACCCCAACCCTGCTTTATAGTTTTAAAAACTGGAAACTAGCAGATAAGGTTGGCCTGGAAAAGACTTTAGAAGGCCTAGACCAACCCTGGGCTGTCGAGTCATAGATGATGATGATAAATAGGGTGGGTCTTTTGGTTATTATCAGAAGAGGCTCTATTTTGATGTGACACTTTTTTCTCTCTTTTTATTTATTTGATTTTTTTCCTGTCCAGGTGGAACAGGGAGTGAATTACTCCTTAGAAATATATGTTTCGATGAAGACTTTCTTAATATCCAGCATGGTGCATAGCGTTTTTAAAAAGTGCTTAAAAATACTTATTTTTGATTTTCGTTTTTTAAAAGCCCTTAGAGGTGCTTTTTTCATTGGATGTTTTTAAAAAGTGTTTAATTTTCCCTTTTCAAAAAAGAGATTTTTTTTCGTTACCACGTCGAATTTCGCCACATATTATGCAAAAACGTGCTTTTCGCATTGTTCTGTTAAACGTTTTCGCAATTTATTTCGGCGTACCGTCGATCCATAGCGTATGAAAGTGCCAATCATTTTACTTGTTTGGTGAAATACTTGCGAGTCCGTATGTGCGTCTACTGAGCTGGGTTCGGTGGGATTATTGCTTTCTCATGTGCATCTCTGCTGCATTTTGCAAGATATTCTCCATTTCGGACTTCACTTTCCAACCTCTTATATCGAGTTGAAAAGTCCCTCAATCATTTTATAACGACTAATATAATCAAGAAAAGAGTTCTTTGTCAGAAACTAGTTATTTTATCATCATCTAAAGTCTTTGAAACTTATTTTGCTTTTTGTTAATGTATATAGTGCTTGAAAATATTTTTTGAGTGCTTAAAAAGAACTTAAAAGGTAACTTATTTTTTGTTGAGATATTTGGCTACGCACCCTGTCCATGTTTGATTGACATTGATTTTCTTCGTGTCAAATTTCGGCACAAAATCAAGATGGCTTTATTTAAATGAGGGGCATTGCACATTGATTCAAAGTTTTAGAGAAATAAGTGTTTCAGTCGTTGTTTGAGTTAGATGAGACACAAATATAAATGAAAAAGGAATCCCATAATTCACTTCTTTCATACTAGCTTGTTATTATATATTTTTTGCGTATAAATAAATTATTTTGTACGACTATTTTTTTCTCTCAAAAAAATATAAAATATTTGCAATATTTCAGTACACCGTTACATTCAGCTGTAATGTTTTGTAATAAACCTTTTTTTGTAGTGTTTGTGCAAAATCATAGTCAACGAGAAGATTTTTATCCTGATTCAGTGGCTACAATGCAAGAAACCTTGCACCATGTTTTCAAGAAATCAAAGCTAAAATACTCGGGTAACTATTTAATATTCTATGTGTTTTGTATATAATCATATACAACAGTGATTCGCAACCACTTTTGTGTGCCGCCAAATTTTGGAAATGATATAGTAAAAATTATAACGCTTTTTTTATTACGAGTAATGTTTAAATTACAGAAAAGTATATATATTATATACTTTTTATAACTTTGTGAGCATCTTTGTAAGTGATAGTCCTGTTTCTGACAGTCATAAATGTTAAAGTAAGTAAGAAATTTAATGACTATTAAAATTATTAAATAATTAATTGAAGCAAGTTAATATTAACTTACAAAAGGAAATAAGAGCTAACAATTAATAATTAGCAAAAAAAGAAAGAAAAGTTAACAAGGACTCACAGGAAATAACAATGTAAAAAAAAAATTAACACATAGCTGCCAACTCTACTGGATTTTCCAGTAGACTACTGCATTTTTCCAGTTTCTCTTGTTCTACTGGTTTAATAAAAATTCTCCTGGTTTTTGTACATTTTAGAAAATTTCCTAATAAAATCCCTATTGAAATAGAGTGCTTGCACAGATTATTGCTTGCTTGAATATTAAAATAAGTATTATATATAATAAAGCTAGCCTCATTTATAAAAATTAGTTTAAAACTTTTTTTGTCCTAAAATGTTATGTTTATTTTGTTTTAGAACTCCCTTTTTAAATAAATTTAAAATATTTTAATTATCTTTGATGAATTAAATCCCTATTACTATTCAAAATTATGAGTAAACATAATGCATCACATTTCAAGTTCATTTAATGTCCATCATAACTGGAAAATATTGCAGTTGTTTCTATTTTGATGGTTATAAAATCCCTAAAATTCCCTATCCGTAAAATATTCAGTACATTATGCAACAATTATCATGAAATTTATATTTGTTTTGTAATCTTTTTTCTTATTCATGTTGTCAGCTATGTTAACAATTGATAACTAGCAAAAAATAACAGTTAAAAACTAATTAAACACGAAACAAAATAACTATTAAGCGATGCGAGGGAGAGAAGACAAAGTAAGAACTGCACAAGTCGAAAGAACTAATTGATCCCTTAATAAGCGTACTGTTATTTTTGTAGTATATTTTATTTTACATTCAAAATTATTATCATTAACTATTTCACACTGTGTATGGGTAAGTAAGCAACTTTTAGGCTTCATTTTTTCTTTGTGTGCCGTTAAAAGTGAGCCGCGACGAAAGGAAGGTTGAGAATCACTGATATTCAACAAGGTTAATCTAAAAGGGTTGCCACTCCACAGGGAGAACCGGGAAAACCTGGAAAATACTGGGAATTTAAAATTCACCTGAAATAACAGAGAAAATGAAAGGAATTTTGATACTTTCTTTACAAACTGGGAAAATACAGGGAATTTTGTTTCATATATTTGTCTTTTAAAAAATGGTGATTACTCAAAGCGTAATCTATGGGATATTTAACCATGATATTTCATTTTTCCAGCAATTAAAAGTAATAAGTATAGTTATCCCAATATAGCTCACACGAGAGCACGGTAATTGTTGTTTCCTCTTAATATATTGTATAATATGTACAGAGAAAACACAGGGCATTGTGCAAATGAAACAGAAGTTGCATTATAAATGTTCTGTTCTTTTACCAACTCAAAGAATTTTTTCTATTAGGAAGGTTCTCATGTATAGTGCAAATAAATAAAGACGGAACAGTTAAATGACATTTGATCTAATGATTGGAATTCCGTGCATTAATATGCTATATTAATGGAGTCAAACTTTAAATATGTTACCATTTCATAAATGTCTTTGTGTTAAATAGATGTAAAGATTTTTATTCTAAAATTCACTTATAATATTGCTCTAGATAGCAGTACTTTTTTTGCTCCTTTTTTTTTAACTAAACCATTTGTACAAGATGCTTAGTTATAAATGTTAACTGCAGTTGATTTCCTATGGTTTGTAATTTCCAGAGATGATTGTGCTCCAGAGAAAATCAGGATTTCCGGATTTTTGGCTAACCGCGATTCGGAAGTTTCTGGAAATCCAAGATCCAGAAGTTTTAAGAAATCACCGGTCACATTTATGTATAAAAGCTCTTGTATATTTTATTTAAAAATATTAGAACTAGAATTTATACTTGGCATCTCTTTCATTTCTAAATATTTTTTCTGGTAGAATAATAAATGTGATTAGAGATAAAAGTAAACTTATACATAATTATTCATTTAAATAAGGCTGCATATAATTTATTTAGAATTTCATGTTTTGAAAATATCAAAAATTTGAATTTATAAGGACATTAATTTTTGAAATGCATCATTAATGATTTTGCTCAAGACATTTTCAAGATTTTTGAGTTGGGCTCACTATTACCCCTGAATTTCATAACAAGGTATTCTACCATATTACATACATTTTGTCTAGATAATATAGCTTATATTCTTTTAGCAGGAGCCATTAAGAGTCAAACTAAAATTCCCCTATTAATATTAACAAGAAAAATTACAATTTTTAGATTCATTCAGGGAAACCAAAGTAACCGATTTTGCGGACTGAAAAAATTTTAATGGTTTGATACTGACATAAAATGGTAACTCAATGCGGTAAACTAAAATTTTTACCCACAATTAAAATTAAATTAAGATGCAGAAGAAGAAAAATACTTCAGAATGGAGTTCGGTTAACTGAAGTATTTTGATAAAAGTGGCTTGGATTATAAAAGTTCTACTGTATATTGTTTTCTTTTGGTTTTTGCTTCTTTTTTACCCCTTATTACACAAAATTATTTATACCTTTTGAGAGAAAAAAAATCATCTGTAATAATATTAAAATTCTTAATTTTTTCATGAAGGTTGTGTGAGCTGTGGAACTCATAGTCACGTGCCAAAAGATCATGATAGAGTGAATTTATTTCTCATGTGTGACAAGGAGCCTCCAGAATTTGGTATGTTTTCCTACCTAATTTATGAATGAACAACTTGTGGGTAATAAAGTGAAAAACCATATTTTTTCTGTAGATGCAAATTTTACATCAGACTATTTCTTAGTTACCTTTACAGATCTCTGCAGCATTACAAGTTTTAGGATATTTTTTAAATGACATATATGGATTCTTCAAAATGGCAATAAAAAATACTTATTGTCACTTTAAACTTATGATAATGTCGTTTTAGCAAAAAAAACTGAATAATTGGAAAAAATGCGGCTTATTATACTGTCTATTGGAATGTTAAAAATTGTTTATTAAAAAATTTCTAAGTTATTAGACGGAAATTTTTTTAAAATACAGTAGAGCCTCGATTAACCGAGCTTCGATTAACCGAGGTTTCTGTTAACCGAGGCAATAACGAAGTCTAAATTTTTTTTTCTCCTCTCCAAAATGAGCTTGGAAGAAATTATACACATATTAGTTCGTTGTCCGTGTTACAGGCACTTATTTCCCACAAAAGCACTCAACTTCCATGAAATATTACACCCTGAGAAGACAACATCCATGAATGCTTTGTTAACAGTGGTCATGTGACTTGTAAGTTTAATCATGTAAATTTTAAAAATATAATATTTCCTTGAGATTTGTGTTATTTTTGAAAATGCGTCTTTCGATATTTAACTAAGTATAGTTAAAAGAAATTCCATTTTACTTTTCAAAATTTACTACTAGAGTTGATTTCCTTTTTAAGTCTTTTTAGCTGTGAAACATAAGTTCATATATGTTTATTTTTATTATTTAAAAAACGTTCTATTGTTTTTTACTTTAAAAGTAGTTAAATTCGCTAGCACGGAAGGTTTTTATACATGGTTCCTATTAACCGAGATTTCCGATATCCGAGGTATTAGCGGTCCCAATTAGCTCGGATAATCGAGGTCTTACTGTAATGTGAGATTGAAAGTAAATATTGAAAGGCTAAGTTAAAATGGATGCACAATCTATTTCGGGGTACCGTCGGTCTGTAGCGAAATAAAGCACCAATCATTTTACACGCTTGATGAAATTCTTGCGAGTCCGCATATACGTCTACTGAGCTTGGTTCGCTGAGATTATAGCACTCTCATATGCAGCTCTGCTGCATTTTGCAAGATATTCTCAATTTCAGACTTCATTTTCCACCCTCTGATATCAAGCCGAAAAATCTCTCGAGCATTTTATAATGGCTTCTTTGTCTGAAACTAGTTATTTTATTAGGATCAAGTAAAGTCTTTGAAAATTATTTTGCCTGTTTTTAGTGCTTATAGTGCTTAAAAAAATTTTTACGTGCTTAAAAAGTACTTAAAAGGTGCTTATTTTTTGTTGGGAGATTCGGCTACGCACCCTGTATGTTTGAACAACCCTCTAACCTTAAATGTATTTTTTTTTCAATTATTAACTTGGTTTCATAATTTGAATGTCTTTTATTATAATACTTCCTTCCCTGGTGCTTTAGAGTGATACTGTGAAGAAGAAATTTTGGAATAATCAGAAATTATTTTATTTATTAATCTCCTTCTTAATTAACTTTACAGATGGTGGTAAAGATCAGTTTCCAGAATACAAAGGTCATCCTGGCTACCAGTACCTTGCAGAATCGCTTGGTCAACAAGTTTTATCCATGCCCAGGTCTCTCCTAACAAATTCTCCATTATCAGAAAAGAATTGGTATGTTGATCCATAATATTAGAGTTTTATGCAAAGTTACATTTTGTGTAGACATAGAGGTTGGTTGCTTATCTTGACAATACAGTATACAGGGCTCCCACTGGGCTGGGAAAACTGGAATTGTCAGGGAATTTTATTTTAACTCTGAAAAGCAGGGAGTAGTCAGGGAAAGTTGTAATTTTTTTTACAAAAAAACCTGGAAAGTAACCAGTCTTAGAATTGCCATTAATAGTAATATGTTATTGAGATTCCACTTAAATAATTCTGACATCTGTTACAATTATTTTATAAAATTCCACTTCTTAGTAAAATTTTTCCAAAACTTCCATTTTCATTTGATTATATGTTTTTGCTCACAAATATTTCATATTACAAATAATAAAATATAAAAAAAAGTTTTCTGTTGAGAAATTTAATGGTATAAATAAAAATATGGTATGGATTTTCTTTGAAATATACCTGGAAAAGTCGGCAAATTTTTTTTCTGAAATTGAGTGGGAACCCTGAGTTTATATTACAGAGGGTTTAACAACAGGGTGACACATGTTACTTACTTTTTATTAATAAGAAAATACATACCTACCAAGTGTCCTTATTTTTAACGAAGACTCCTATATTTTACGACTATCTCCTATGTACCCATATATTCTCAGATTTCTCTGTATTTATTGAAGAAATTTAATTATAAAAAATTTTGCCGATAAAATATCTTCTGAAGTCAAAAATACTTCTGTTATTCCTCAACAGATAGTACTGTTGCAAGTACTGCAGTATGTTGAGTGTTAATAGTTAAAGTAAAAATATCCTCAGTGGTAGACGAAACTTTGGTTAGAATCCCCTTGCTGTCAGCCCTGGGCGTTTTTCATGGTTTTCCTCTCCATGTAACACAAATGAAGGTTAGTTCCAGCAGAAAATCCTCCGAATTTCTCTGAATACTTGATATAGAAGTTCCTTTGTCTTCTGGATACTGTTCAAAATTACAAGGCCACAGAGTTGAATATTAGTAGTCGTAAATTTAAAAAATTGTGCCGACTGTTCAACAACGATTATAAAATAAAATTGTTTAAGTAATTATAAATTATGGTTTAAAAAATCTTCTTTAGATTGAGAATTATATACATATTTTTTACCTGGCTAAATGTAAGTGCTTATATTATTTCCAATTTTGAATTTCTCTTTTTTTTACTTACATGATTTTGACTTACATGCTTATCAAATTAAAATCTCCATAATTTTATGTCTCCAATATTGGCAGGTATGAAAATAACTGTTAAAACAATATTTAGTTATAGTTAAAAAAATATTAGAACTCTTGCCTAAAATCAGTCATATAGGACAGAAGAAGCAATAGGTATTACAAATTAAAAAAATGTTTCCATCATTTAACACTGACAGCGTCCTTATGATTGTTTTTTTTTTCATTTATTATTATTTATTACAATGTGGTGACAGAGCTCACTCAAGATAACTAAACATTCCTCAAATGGACCAGCCATTCCTGTAAGATATTCCACTAGAGTTCTGCGGTAGGGCCGGGGGATTCAATAGTTAGGACTTTCTTTTACCCAGTAAGTTTTTAACTTACATTTATATATATTTAATATATTATATTTGGTTATTAATTACATTATATTTGGTTAGTCTATTCACTGCTGCTTATGAACTTTATTTTTTTATACTTTATGACCGTCGTCAAACAGCCAACCCAATTTTGGGTTTACGTCTACTAATGTTTAACGCGTAGCCTTACAATTTTGAACCAATCCAGAAAACAAGTAAACACCTGGATCAGTACCCCCAGAGATATTGATTTGTTATGGGAAGATGGAGGACTTAGCAACACGACAGATTTAACGTGCATCAGCCACCATTTAGTACATGGGGAGTCTTCGACCGGCTGGGATCGAACTCTTGGACATTGACCCAGTGCCCTACCATCCTGGCTATCCCAGCCCTATAAACTTTATTTATAAAATTAGGATTCTGCCTGGGATAAGTTTGATCAATTACGTTTCCATAGCAAAACAATTTTGAAGCGCTGAAATAGACAGGGTGCATAGCGTTTTTAAAAAGTGTTTAAAGGTGCTTATTTTGCTTTTAAAAACTCCTTAAAGATGCTTTTTGTCATTAGATTTTCTTAAAAAGTACTTAACATTCCCATCTCGCTTTTCATTTAGTAAAAGAAGATATTGAAATAAAATTATAAAGATATGAAATAATTGAGGTTTTTAATCCTAGAAATTTTTTCTTTTCTGAGAGACCGTGCTCTAATTGCTTTTTTTTTTTTTTTAAAACTATTTATTGTATTTACTTACTTTTATTATTATTTTATTACCTTTGAAGTTTTCAGTACTCTTAAGTTATTTTATGAAAAAACTCAATAATATTTACAGGTAAATTGTAAAAAAAAAGTATGAAGTTAGAGGCTTTTCATTATTTCAACTTTTAGCAAATATTGCTAAAATCTTATGCTATTCAGGTTTGTTAAAGCTTATGAATGTAGGGACCAAATAGTTATTTACTTTTGACAAAAATGTTTAACTTAATACTCATTGTATTTGCATTTAAAAATTATCATTTCCTTAAAGAAATACTGAGCCAAGTTACAAACTTTAATAGAAATTTATTAAGAGCCATTCACTAATTTACATTTGTAATTTGAATTTAAAGTTTGCTTAATCATTTTTATTAATTAATTTGCTTAGTAATTTTTATCAATTATCCGTGATCAATAATATTAATCTTGTTAATGTTTTGTTGAATATGCTTTTAAAATTAGCTTTTATTTAAATAAAAAAATACGCTTCATAACCTTTTTAAATAATAATTAAATTAATTATAATTTTGAATTTAAATCTTTTACTTATTTAAATAAAGTAATAATTAATTTCAAATATAGAATGAGCCACTCAATATTGAATTTAAAATTGTGTATAAATTATTTTTATGGTGGCAAATGTAATCAAGAAAAGAGTCGGGAAATAATTATTTTATCTTGATAAAGTAGAAGTCTTTGAAAATGTTTTTGCATTTTTTTTATCTATACATATGTATATGAATAACTTTCAACCAGTGGGAAGAAAAAAATTTTATTAGCACTCATATCCTAATTACGGTAATTTTTTTTAAAAAAAAAAATACTTGCTAATATTTTTAAGTGCTTAAAAGATACTTATTTTTTGTTAAAAAATATGGCTATGCACCCTTATAGACTACCATGTTATAACAATTTTGCAATCATAAAAGTTGAGCGTGTTTTTTAATTGCTCTTCCATAAGTTGAATGATTAGTTACAGAATAGTCTACAGATTAAGTTAAGTAACTTAGAATGAAAATGAAAAATCCCTAAGACACCTTGAGTCACTTTGCTCAGGGTTGGGGTTTTGCACACCCAAAACTGGTTTTGGACAGGAGACATGGGTTTTACTGTCTTAAACTGTCTTAATGTTCAAAACCCTAAACATTGGTAAAAAATAAAAATTCTATATGTGTAACAATTGAACGCATAATAATTACTTATATTAATAAATATTTGATACTTTTTATGCAATTTGCTTCGACTTATTAAAGGAAAATAATATAATAGGAAAACTTTTGAAACTCCACAATTTATTGAACAGCAAAAGTGAATACATTAGAATACATTATCCTTTAAATAAATATGCTTTTAAAACTGATAAATTATGTTTTTGCACAAGGATAAATAATGCAATATTATAAATAATAATAAACTTTTTTAATAAAACAAATGCTTGTCTTCATTTTGTTTCTTGTTCAAAAGTTAATCTTTTATTTTTCACAATATTTTTTTTAAATTGTGACATAATTTGAAAAAAAGGGTTTTGGACAAAGGGGTTTTGGGCAGAACTGTTTAAAACCTGGTTTAAACCATGGATTAATCCCTTCTGTCCTAAACCTTGCCGACTGCTTTGCCTGTTTTTACATTATCTAAGATTTATTTTTCCTTTGGTAATTTTTTTTTTGTCATTATTTTTTAGTTTTTATCTTGAATTTTTTTTTTTTTTTTTTTTNAATTTTTTTTTTTTTTTTTTTTTTTTTTTTTTTTTTTTTTTGTGGTGGTTGTCATTTATCTTACTCTTTTTTTTAGGTTTCATTATTCTGCCAGAATCTGGGAAACAGTGAAAAAGTCTACATTATTTTTAGAATATAACAGACTTTTGCCATGATAATTTTCTAAAAATAATATTACTTTTGTGACACTGTGAAATCACTGCAATGGATGCCAGTTTATATATTTATTAAGAACAGAATTTAACATTTTCTCAATCCTTATTTAGAAGTATAAATGTGACAGCATTTATTCTATCTTTATTTACTTTAAAAAATATATATTTAATTCAGATTAAGATTTTTTTTTTCCTTTAACCTCAACGTACTTTTTAATAAAAGTATCACCAAAATTAATTTTATACTTTTTGTATTATTATTTTTTTTTAAATCATTCCTTTTTTAAAGTGAAAATAAATTTCAATGGAAACCTTCATTAACAATGTATTTTCATTTCTTGAAAAAAAATTATCATTATTTCCTGAGGTATTCTGGAAATTTTAATTCTGTACTATGTACAGTACTATAGTGTGTTTGAGTTTCACTTCTATGTTATTATTTTTTTGTATTTGTTTATAAAAATTTAACAATAAGTTAAAAATCTGTGACTATGCATATTTGCTAATAAATTTGTACATAATAAATGTTCATATTTTTCTTTTCTACATTGTTGGAATAAATGCTACTAAAGCTTCATGCTGAGTTAAAAATTGAAAAGTGCAAAATCAACTGTATTCTGCAATGCCCATACATTAAATAAATATTTATTTTAGAGCCATACTGAACCTTTGTTTTCAAATTTTATTAATCTTAAGCAAATCTCTAGAATCTCCTGGTTTTTCTCAAATGCTCCTATTAAATCACTATTTTAACACTAAACATACCAACACTTGATGCATACCTATTTCTACCATACCTGGTCGAATGACCGAACTTTATGTTTTTTGATTGAATGTATGAAATATGGATGTTAGGAAGGAAATAAACAAACCAAAACTTTTATTATAATTAAACAAAATTGTATGGTGCCAATTTTTATGTATTACAAACACAAAGAAAAAGAATTTTTAATTAATTGCTCAACACATTTTTTACATATACAGGGTGTTTCCATTGTACGTTTTCTGCCAACATATTTTTCTAATTATTATTATTTCTATAATTTGTATAATTAGTCTTATAATTAATATTATTTCTTCTAAGAACTTGTGCTGTCTTGATTGTTTCGACATTTTTCTGGGTGAAAATTAACAGTTTGTTAGAAAGGAAGTAAAGCTATCAACATAAAATATAAGCTACTTATCAAAACATTTAGTTTTTGTCACTTTTACTGACACAAAAATGCCATTCTAAAATTTTAGGTACTTTCTTGAAATTTGAATTCACAGTTAATCTGATTGAACTAACTACGCAACAGTCTTTGCAGAAATGTGCAACTGATCCATTGCAATATGTTGAACATGCAATACATCATCATTTTTGATAGGATAATCTTATAAAGCAACGAATTGTTCTCTTGGTCAAATGACCGGTTGTGGCAGAAATAGGTATAACACAAGTATTATTCGAAACAAACAAAATACAAAAAATAATAATAATAATAATAGAATATTGACTGTAAATATTTGTTAGAAAAAGCCATGACGTTAAATGTCCAAAAATGATAAGATGATAAGCGTATTTTTGATGCAAAAGTTCTTAAACGGTCATTTGACATGTTATGGTATGTTAAATGTTAATAATTTATCATTGAACATTAAAAAGCCAATAACAAAGCAAATTTTCACACTTAGTTTTTTTTCTTCTTCTTTTTTTTAAAAATTTCTTGTCAAAATAAAATTAAAAAAACTTTTGACTAACGACAGAATGAAGTGAAGAAATTGTTGCTGAATTCTCTCTATATCTTCGCTCACCCTGGCCACCGGTATAGATGTTGCGGCGTAACTACCACTACAATTATTAAACATCAATTCCCTGGTATATAAGACATACTAATTCGAGTGAATCTTGAGTAAAAGTTTTACTAAAGATGGAAGAATCAACAGAAAAGCCACTTGTTTGACATTGAATAAAAAGAGTTCCACATTTTCCAAGGGGTTAGGTGGGCTATAACAGGGTGTGTAGCGTTTTTAAAAAGTGCTCAAAAGATGCTTATTTTTTATTTAAATTTTTTAAAAGTCCCTTAAGTACTTTTGTAAAAAGTGCTTTATTTTCAATCTTTTAAAAAGAGATATTATCCTAGCGTCATTTTAAATTACAAAAAATGCATGATTTTCACATTTTCCTCTGCAATATTTATCAGAAACTAGTATTTTATCATGATTATGTTTTTGAAAATGTTTTTAAATTTTATGTTTATAAATTAGGAACTTTAAACAATAGAAGAATAAATTTTTGCTGCACAGATCCTAATTATGGTTATTTATTTATTTTTGGAAAGTGATAAAGAATATTTTTTGAGTGCTTAAAAGGTGCTTATTCTACGCACCCTGTATAAGTTTCATGCAATATTCTCAGAGTGAATGCCTGACAAAAACAGGAAGGAGTGCATTTAAAGAAGGACCATGTAAATTTTTTTATTCGTTTTAAGTTACTGTGCTTAATTTTCTTTCTTCTTAATTTTATAAAAACAGGGATTCTTTGCATTTCAGTGCATTTAAAGAAAGACCATGTAAATTCTTTTATTCGTTTTAAGTTACTGTGCTTAAATTTATGAAAACAGGGATTCTTTGCATTTCAGTGCATTTAAAGAAGGACCATGTAAATTCTTTTATTCGTATTAAGTTACTGTGCTTAATTTTCTTTCTTCTTAATTCTATGAAAACAGGAATTCTTTTTAAAGAATAAAACCACTTAGGAATTTAGGTTCGCAATCAAAACATTTTTTCTGTGTTTCTTTAATTTACTTCTTAATCCAAGATAAAATAATAATAATAAATAATGACTTTTTTTAACACTATGTCATTCATTATTTTACAATATATGATCTTTTTTACGGGATTTTGTTTATAAAAAAATAATTTCCTTTTTTGTAATACATTTCAAACATGAATGTATATTAAAAATGCTTATTGCATATTTTAAACTACTATACGTATTATTTTATTTATTTATTTATTTTTTTTGTTGAAATACAAAAGAATAATAAGAATTAATTTTCTAATAAACTGAGCTTGTTCAATGAAGTGTTAGATATGAGTCTTTAGCATGTACTACATGTAAATCAATATACTCTTAATATAATGTGAAATTGTAGTTATAAATCTTAGTATTTAATGTTAAAAAATATGTTTTTTATCTAAATCATGTGGGGTTTTGGGGGGAAATTGGGGTTAATTAGAAAAAAAAAGACTGGAATGTTAATTTCTTATATAATTAGTAAAGATTAAATTATTACCAAGATCTTGATAAAGTTTATGTTACCAATAAGAAACATGCATTCATTTTTACAATATTTCATATATTTTGTTCTTTGACATTTATTTTAAATAGTAACTAAAAAGATTTTCTGAGAGGCTAAAGTAAGACTTTTTTTTCTCTACGAATAATCGCAGATAGCGAGCTAGATAACTTCTTTATTTAACTGATTTATCTAAACGTTTATTATTGTTGTAGTTCCCACTGCACAAAGGGTAATTCTGCTTCTAATGTAATTCTGCAGAAAAAACGAAGGAAAAAAATTATTTGCTTTTGTATTTTTTTTAGCTATTTTATTGCTTCAACTCCTTCTTTACTCTGTGTTTCAAATATAAAATCTATAAATATGACGATGCAGAGCATAACAGTTTTGTTTATACCTATCATTTCAATTAATGTTATGATAATGCTTTTTTTAATTTGTTGTGTTTTTGTCCGAGAAAATAGTAAATTCGTTAATTCATGAAAAATTCTTGGAATTAGCAGGTCGTCGTTACCGGGCATAGGTTACTCTGCAATTTTAATCTTGATGATGTTACCTAACTCACAACATTTATACGATCCTTTGTTATGTACTATAAAATTTTTAAATTCGTACATTTCGACAAAAATAACTGTAGCTTAGAACGTGAAACCATTTGCAGATTTGAAATTAACGACGTGAAAGAAATCTTATGCAACAGAAAAAGTTGTTCCCCACTGTAATCATTTAATATTTTTCCATTGCTATGGCGACCGTCCGTTCTTTTGTTCATGCATTTTAGACAAGGTAATTTTTAATTTATTTTAAACGGTTATTATTTTAGATAGCATACTTCATAAACATTTAATTATAAGTTCACTTCTTAATGAGAACATTTAAAGTATGCAAATAAAATAATCAATAAGTGAATAATTGTTTAAAATTCTGAAGAAATATTAGTAGTTTAATTTGCATTATTGCTAAATAATCTCTTTGATAAAAAATATTTAGCAATTAGTATTGCCTAAAGACCGTCTTTACTTTTTCAGACAGATTGGTAGTTACGCTGTGTATAAACTTATTTTATCATTTCAGTTATTTTGTGTTTTAACAATATTAATAGTTAAATTAACAGTGTTAAATCGCTTCATTAGCGAAAAATGTACAACGATTCTGAGAGTGCGATCAGCATTGCTATTACGCTATGTACATTAAATTTATTTTATCGTTTCAGCTATTTGTTTTTACTGTTTCTTAAATCGGAATTGATTATACAAAAAAAATTAAGAAAAATTATATTCACTCAACGTTATTTAATTAAAATAATTTAATAACTGTTTAAAATTCTAATTCAAAATTTTGATGCACGAAATCTACATTTTAGTTTTGCATGAGATCTTTTTATAAGCTTGTTCTTGAATATTTTTCATATCCAAGTAATCGTTTTTTTTTGTTTTTGTTTTTTAAGTATTGACTTTTAAAGGAAAAATGAGAAATAAGAGGCCACCACGGGGTGAGCGAAGCCAGCAGCCCAATAGTGCCTTCTGCTGATTTAAAATTAAGTAAGGCTTTCAAAAGCAAGTTTGAAGATTATAGTGTATCTATCACTACAAAAATACAATTCCAATTCACTAGTACATGAGACACATTAACTCGATTTTATGTTGGATATCTTTTCATAGATGGAGATTGACGTTGTCCATATGACTCTCCCCACATTGGTAACCTTCGGACGTGATTTGAACATACATACATTTGACAGAGAAACTCCCACTTTGATATGAACACGCCTATCTTGACAGTTACGCCGACTTCGATGGATGATCCACATTGAACAATTGACTTAGACATGTCCACTTCCTCGCGCTGTTGCTACTCAGTCTCGATCACACACAACATATACATTCGACTCCTAAAGGCAACACAGGAGCGACGGTGATCTTAATACAGCTCTCCCGGCTTTTCACAAAACAGCAATAATCAACTAGTGGTATCCATTCATCGAATTCTATCTATGTTTGGGTACCTTTTCATAGATAAAGGTTGACATTGTCGATGCGTCTCTACCCACAAAGATAATGTTGATATGCTTATAAAACAAAATTAGTAAATCTGAATTTTATCCCAATAGGTAGGTAGGTATTTTATTTACATCGCACTAGAGCTGCACAACAGGCTATTGGCGACGGTCTGGGAAACATCACTGAGGATGATCCAAAGGCATGCCATGACTCTGCAGAGGGGATGGGTCCCCCGCTTTGGTAGCCCGACGACCTGCACTCAAAGTCGAGCAATTTACGGTAGAACAGTTTCACGAGAACCGATACGGCTCACCCTCGGTCCCTACTCAGGCTGATCAAAGAGGTCACCCACCCGCTTAATGACCACAGCCAGTGATACTTTTATCGTAGTAGAATAGGAAACTTAATTCTCATTATTGCAATAAATTTTTTTAGATCATTTAACTGAATTATTCTTAACTTTGATGCAACAATCTAAAAAATAATAATTGGGAAATGATCGTATGAATTCGTGAGCGAATTGAGCTAGATCTCCTCCTACCTTTAATAACGAGTGAAGAATTGCGTAAAATAATTTTGTGATCATAAATGAACATTTAATCCTTATTTGGGTTGTACGAACAGGAAAACCAGGAAATTCCGACACGACATAGTTTAACACAAACCGAGTGTACTTTTTAATTTTTTTTTTCTCCATAAAGTTGAAGCCAATTTTGTGATAATTGTAATTTGCATTATAGTTCATGCAAATACGAATTTTTGTCAATCCCATAGTCACAAAACTATTATAGATATTCTAAGACTAGAAGCGTTAGTGTTTTGAATATAAAACATGACAATGACATATAAGTTTAGTATAAAAATAATAGACAAAAAAAAAGACTTTTATCTATAATATATTATATGTAATTCTTAAAAATATTTATTATCTACGTAATAATAAAAATCGAATCGTATTTTATACCATAATAAATATGAAGAAGAAAAAAATATCGTTGCAGAGTTATAAAAATAAAGCTTAAAATGTCACTGTTTACAAAAAGAAATAGGTTAGCTTTCATTTTTTTACCTTTCTTTTTCAAAATAGATTTGATTTCAACATTTAGCGTATCAAAGAACATTTAAGAACAAGAATATTTCGCGTATTTTTTCTTTAATCAAACTCAAAATATATTTTGTACATAACTTATTCATTCTTCTCAACAGAGACATTTCAAAATTAAAAACCATTTGCGATAGAGTTATGTTCTGAAAAGTGTAAAAAAAAAGTCTTGTAAATCAATAAATGATTATTTAGGGAAATAAGTGAGGCTCTATTCCCCTGTAACCTAATATTTCATGTTTGTGAAAACGATGTTTGAATATCATTTATTTCATGTTCAAATAACTTATTTCATTTGTGTAAACGAACTAAAGCATAGTAATCTTATCATTACTTAAGTTCAGATCTAACTTAAAAATAAGTGTAAACCTATGGCAAGAATTTATTTAAGAAAAACAAAATCATGCCGAAAAATGTCTGTTTTATATTATGACCCATTTATATTGTTTGCGTAACATTTTTTGATAGTCAATAAAGAAACCTCACTATTAAAACTTAGAAACTTTAACAGAAAAAAAAACTTTTTAGAACCCATTATTATTATTTGATCGTCAAGAGATTGAATAACACGTAGTTTTGTGGTTACTGAAAAACTACACTTTCTTAATATCTTTTTTTTAGAAGAAAAAAGAAATTATTACTGAATATTCTTCTCAAAATTAATTCATACGCTCTAATATGGTCTTTTAATTGTATTGTTGGTCCAAAATTTGTGACACAGCCGGTACCTGGTAGTACAAATAAAACGATTTTATTATATAAATGTTTTCGAATTTTCATTAATTTTATCAAGCGAAATAAAGTGCAAACGACTTTCCTAATCAAATGAAATATAGAAACTACAAATGGCATTAGTTATCGCGTGCTTTGTCTTCTTTTCTTATCAGGGAATTTGATTTATTTCTACTAATGAAAAACTGATAAATTTTCATGCGATTTCAAATGGAAAAACAAAATTTGCAAGATTTAAATCTTTAAGGTAAATACTCCACCGGCATATTACATAATTTCATTTTCATAAAAGCTGTCTAGATGCCTGGGGACCCTTGCGCACCAATGATCCTTATCCCCCATTTTTCTGAGCCATTTAAAGACATAGAATAAATACAATGACATCTCGATATTCAATCTAACGATTTTATGCATGCATTATTTACATTAATATCTCTCGAATCTTTTCTACTCAATCAAATTTATTTCCACGCTAATTGGCTGAAATTTCGCGGCGAATTGCTTTCTTTTTCTTTTTTTCCATATTCTGTCTATTAACTTTTGAAAGAGACAATAGTGTTGCATATAAACTGGCTGTTCCGATATTTTGCTAGTTCGTTAAATATCTCATTGTCTTGTATAAAATTTTTAAAAAAAATTTTAAAATTATAATTAAAATTACTTCCCAAGTTTATTTAAATTACACTTTTGATAACTATTGAATATTTATTTTTAGCCATTTAGAGCATATTTCAGGTGATATCTTTTTTAATACAAATATTTTTTTAAAATAGATTTTATTTGAAACTGTACAGTATAATAATTCATTAAATTCCAGTTACTTTAGTTTACTAGTTATTTATTAAATTCTAGTTGCTTAAGTTCAAGTTAAAATATTTTCTAAAAAATAACAATGAATACTAAAAATAATATTAAAATAAATTAAATAATAATTCAAAAATAAAGACAATTTCTAAATTTTTTTAATATTTAATTTCAAAATTATAGATTTAAACTAATAATTATGCATTAGTTAAGCATAGCATTACTAAAATAACTAAATATATAGTTAGAAATAATAATTATATTATTAAAATAATTAATCAAATTAGTTTTTAAATATATATTGACACTATTTCTATTATGTTCTTTAATTCCTAATTTTTGTTAATTTTTTAACTGCATGCTGGACCATTTTTTTTTTTAGCTATTTCAAAGGTTTGTTAAATTATCTTTGCATCAGAATTTTATTTTAAAAATGTAAATTTTGAAGCAAATTAAATAATTGTTAAACTTTAACTGTTCCCATCGATTAACATTATCAAAACTGAATTGTTTTGAATATTAGAAATACTTTAAATTGTTTATGAAATAAATAGAACATTACAAGTTTTTGCTATCAAATCATTCTCTTATGCTAGGAGAAAAAAAGTAATAATATAGTTACAGCCAATAACATTTAAAAGCGACACAAAATCATTTGAAAATGAAGTGCAACAAGCCGTTGCTTACTCACAAAATCGAAGGCAACACATCTGCTATTAAGTATTCGATTGAATATATAATCGGTAAAAATGGACATTCCGATGAAGACGCTAAAAAACAATCTGCTGAAATCTGTGGAAGGCGGACAACTGATATTTTTATACCTGCTCATATTGCTGAAACAAAAAGTAAGATTTCACTTTATTCCTGGAAATTTATGACTGTCAATACTACGACGGAACGCCCTGAATAACTTTGGATCTAATGATCGGATTTTCATTAGTAGGAATCAATGTTTTGAAGGCCAAACCTCAAATATTCTAATGAATGAGAGCAGCCGATATTTTAAATTACGGAATCTGACACAAAAGCGTACTTTCTCTGAGCATGTGTTTCTTTTCGACGGATTTGATAGGTAGGTATTTTATTTACGTCGCGCTGGAGCGTTACATAATAACATTAATATCTTATGAAATACGGCAGATTTGAGCTCAGAAATTATCTAATTTATTTCTTTTATTGAAAACAAAATTATCCGTTTGAAAACATCGCCTATCAGAATAACATGTAGTAAGCAGCTGCAAACTTTTTAACCGGAACTAGAGTAGGTTCCAAGCTCGAGATTGTTATTGTTTACTAACTATTGAAAACACCATCCATAAAAACCTTAAATCGAGGCTGACTTAGGGATCTCAAGCGTGAAAAAATCCTTTAATAAAGCCAGTCTCAAGGTGGAAATAATTTTAAATATAGGTCATTATAAGGTTTCTTTTCGCAGAGTCTTGTATGCTCCTTTAATATCCACCTTTGTCATGAAACCTTTTAATGGACAGAGCAATTTGATCTTATCGCTAGTGTGACGTCAGCTAAAACTTAGGAGCTTAGGATGAAAGGTTTGAAACTACAATATTTTTGCTTTATTTGAAGAAAGGTTTTTAGTACAAACATTTTGGCGACAATAAAAAGAAAATTCCGAAACAAGGTTGCCTTAAGGTTAAATGCTTTCTGGTTATGTAGTTTCAATCAAAACTAAAAAAACAACAACAGGTAAATATGTCTATTTCATTTTTGAGTCTTTTTATTGCTATTTCAGTAATAAATGTGGGTAACGATAATTTCATCTGTAATTATGGATTGTGGTACAAATTTTTACAGTAATTTTTACTTCTATCCCTCACAGACAATCCGATTCTGATAAATAATGAAAATCCTGAGAATTACCAGCACCACTGTCCCTGTGTTTATGCAGAATATAAGGTGAGGCCACGTCAGAGTAGAACCATATTTACTTCTTGTCAGTTGCACGAGCTTCAGTTGGCGTTCGACAAATCACCCTACCTGAGTGTGGCCGAAAAGGAGAGACTAGCTCGTAGAATAAATGTGCCAGGAAGAACAGTCGATGTAAGTATTCTCGCTTAATTCTATTTATCAGTCCCACAGTGGGACTGATCGTAAAAACAGGTTCCCAGTCGAACACCGAAGTCAAGCATCACTAGCTGCGGTCAGTAAGAGGGTGGGGGACCACTTTGACAGGCCTGCGTAGGGACCGAGAAATGAATAATTCAATTTCTTTGCATTTTTTATCAGTACAACCGATGTAGCGATAAAGTCAGCGTTTGCTGAATTATCTTAAGAATAGAGGAGGGGGGGGGGACTCTATCCCCTCCCTGTATATGTGTGAGCTTATATATGTGTGTGTGTGTAACATAAAAATCTTCTATTAATCTTTTTATGTTATTTCTTTTTCGATAAAACTTTTTCCCAATTTATTATTCCAATCGAAACACTTTCTCACACTTTTAAAAAGCCACGTCCTGTTCCTAAATCTATTTTTGGCTCAAGTATGCATTCATTAAAAGTAAGACATTTTCCCCTTTACTTTTGTGGGAATCGCGCGACCTATTTATTAAACCAATAGTAATTTTTAAGTTTTAAGTGTTTAATTTTCCCTAAATAGAGACATTTTTGGATTTTTTGCAAGATTTTCCCTACCAGAAAGACTGATCGTCGATAGAGTAAACTACACTATTCGCTCGCCACTCAATAAAGATTGATCAAATAAAATTAATTTGCTTTCATTAAAGTCCTGTGTCTGTTTTCCTGCTCAGTCGACTGCCTTCATTATATATATATGTATATACTATATATATTTAAAATACAGTCAAACCCCGCAATACTGAACTTTCAAGGGACCGAAATTTCGGTTCACTATAACCGGGACTTCACTATATCAATTGCGCAAGCAATTTTAACTAATAGTTCCAAACTCCCCCTTTTATTACACTTTATTTAAATAAATTACCAAAAAAATGAAATACAAAAATTACTGAAACATAATACGTAGTAACAATAAATCTGTTAACTTTTTTTTTAATTACTCTTCGCCTTGCGTACAAAAAAAAATAAGTAATCTTTAGCCGATGTGCAATCCTCAGCTATGTAACTTCCCGACTCTCCGATAATTTTCCTTGAATGCATGTTTTTCCGGTTTTTAAACCTGTTTAACCATCCATTCGAGCACATAAAAGTAGTCTCACCGAACCGCTTAGCAATTCCTCGGCTTTGACTTGAAGCATTTGTTCAGATACTGGAAGATTGCGGGTTCCTTTGAATGCTGAACCAATTCAATGATGCCATTCAATAATGAAGCAAACAAGAAAAAATGCTTATTGCTACATTCCATGCTATAGATGGTTTTGAAAATCGATATATGTATTTATTTTGAAGTAAAAATTTCAAAATTATTACAAAAAAAATTTAATTAGTCGAGGACAGAAAAAAGTTCATAATATACAAGTGTAGCAAGGCATGGGGGCAAACATTTTGTTCACTATATCCGGGAGTTCACTATAAACCATGTTCACTACAGCGGGGTTTGACTGTATATGCACTGGTGGACAAAATTAAGACAACATCAGAATTGGACACAGCTTCAATGGGCTAATGTTCTCTTCACCGATTCAGTCTACAACCTGATTCTGGACGGTTATTGATATGGAGGGAACCTGGAACCCGATACCATCCCAACAACATTATCGAAAGGGACCATTATGCTTGTGGAGGACTCATGGTTTGGGCAGGGATCATGCAAGATACCCGCACACCGCTCCATGTGTTTGACAATGGTTCCGTGAATGCCCAGAGCAGGAGGTCCTAGATCCCTATGTGCGTCTTTTCAGGCGCGCTGGTGGCCCTAGGTTCATTTTTATGGACGACCACAAAGGGCTCTTATAGTTGATGAGTATCTGGAAAGCGAGGATATTCAACGAATGGATTGGCCAGACAAATCCCCTGACCTGAATCCTATTGAACATGCTTGGAATGCTCTTGGGAGAGCTGTTGCGATGCGCCAACCTCCCCCCAGAACCATTCTGGAGTTAAAATTGTTCTGGTGGAAGAATGGGAGGGTCTTCCACAAGTCCTCCTTAACTCCTTTATTAACAGCATGCATACTCGTTGTGCATGCTGTCTGTCAGGGGTGATCATACACCATACTAGAGGTAACACACGCTGTACAAGCCTCACTTTTATTGTCATCTTTTATCCTTAAGTTCAGACTACATTGGATTTATTGGCAATAGGTCTTACCAGTGAATGGCACTTTCATTTTTGTTTTGCATACTTTATCATGGAATAAGCTATATCCATACCAAATTTCATTTATTTATATTCAGTATTTTTTGAGATATTTGGGAACATGTCTTCCATCTCTTAATTTTGTTCGCCAGTGTAAATTTAATATGCATATATTTCTCATTTTACAGTATTTATTTTCATACTGTTCACTGTGACCTATGAGACCAAGAATTTTGCCTTCGGGCAGGAATAGGGACCTATATTATTTCCTGCTGAGTACGGGACTATTTGGTAGCAGCTCACTTGAATTAGAACCATTTTTCGATCGCAACGCTCGAATACGCATCTGGGAAGAAGACCGGTTCCATGCCTTCACCCTTCCCTCTCCTCCTCTTTTCAGTTGTATAGGAATGTACTACGATATTTTTTTTCTTTTCTTAATATTTTTCATTTTTAATTGTTAAAAATATTATTTTAAATTTCCATGACGCTCTCTTTTAGAACTATGTTTAATGTAGTTTTCAGTTCCATATAGTTTCACAATTTAAAAGATCTTAATCTATTTGAAAATCAAGAGAGAAACTAACGTACTTCCTTCTTCTATGACTCTCCACACGCTAATGGTGAAAACATGCGAAGTGTTGCCATGGGTCAAGCACGTAGGTATAGTTTTTTTCATGGGGGGTGTTTTGTGATTGAGAAATTTATTATCAAGATGTAATATAATTAAACCAGTTAACATACATACAAGTACACTCTTTTTGGTTTTGATAAAATAATCTAATACAAAAGTTCTCACGATAAGCTTCATTTAAAAGCTAAAAATCACAACCAGTGATCTAAATGAAGATGAAAATAAAGACAAGCCATAAACGTCGTTGATCGCTTCCCTTCGATTGGGAAATGAGCAAAATTCAAATAAAAAGAACATTAAAACAAAACCATCCTTATTGTCAAAAATTCACGTATAAAATATCAATAAAAATTCATCTGTTCAACGCAAATTATAATGCGTTTAAGCAGCCAAAATAATACAAGAAATGAATTCTTTACGAAGTTGAATACATGGGTAATTTTCTAAAAATACGACAAATAGGAATTTTTTTTTTTAATTTTTAACCTTTTGGATTGGATACTATACTTTTTTTTAAAAAATACTCGTTTACTAAAATAACTCTAGTTAATACCTTATAGAGAGCAATGTACAATAGTTAACAAGCATTTAGCAGTTTGCAATTATTCCTTTGCATTCATGTGCCAGAAAAATTACAATTTATAATTTTATAGCTTTTACTTCCATTTCATTTTTAGTTAGTCTTCGTGTTATTAATCAAAAGAATTTATTAAACAGCTCAGATTAAATAATATAGTTTATATTAATTATTTAGAGAACGCAGGAAAATGATTATGTGTAAAATCCTTCCAAGAAGCTAATAATAATGGTGTTAAATAAGCTTTGCAAAAAATTGTCATTTTATTCTATGATATCAGATTTCAATGGCAGTTACATTAAATTGTCGCATTTAAAGAAAATTACTCGTAGATATATAGTGCAGAAGTCGGTAAATGAATATATCTTCGCACAAATTTTTCTTTTTGTTTATTTCAGTAATATCCTGTTAAACTACGTTATTAAATAGAAGGTGTAAAACCTTAATAATGTAACAAAACATTATTAATAAATAAAAAAGATATACAGCACAAGAAAAATAAATTAGATACAAAGCCTCAAAATATTTCGTAAATAAATATTGAATGAAAAAATCCGTGTTTCGTAAGGTCACTGACTATCAAATTTGGATTTCGATAGAGTGGCCGCGGGCATTTCAACATTTAAAGAATTACTTATCACACTAAATTAAATTTAAATATCAGAGAAACAATTAATTCTTTTAAATTTGTTGACTTTAAAAAAAGTTTTCGTTACTTAATCAGTATAATGCATTATGTGTTTAAAGCAATTTCTACTTAAAATTTATTTTTTAAGAGAAATAAATGTTACCCCTTACATTTTTAATAATCTTAAAATATTTTGCTAAACAAAGATTTTTTTTCATTAGTTTGTGTTAAAGATAAATCATAATTAAGGTGTTGAATACTTCAAGTCAAAACATAAAATATCTTCAAACTCTTCAATTTGGAATTAAACAAATTGGAATTAAAGTATTATTTGTAAGGTAGTTTACTCTTTTGTTA